TAAGGCCACCTTTCGTCACATTCCATAAAAAGCAGTATTCGTCTTGGGTTTTCAAGTTATACAGTGTAAAACTGCTTGCAAGTACATTGTGAATACTGCCGCAGGTGACTTCTTGTCTTTTTCTTTTTCTTCTCTCGCTTCTTTTTTCATTTCTTGACGTAAATCACATTCTCGTTTTGGAGGATTCCTTGCAGCGTATACAACACAGGTATCACACAGGTCCTCCTTGGGAGCATACTATATATCGAGAGAGTTCTTTGAAAAAGATCGTTCGTGATACAGGATCATCACCACTGCCAGGACAATGATCACGTTTGTAAAAACTATACCACTGATTTGTTGAAGTCCACATTGGTTCCAAATATGCAGTAAACTATGGTTTACTGCTTGGCGCTCGGCAATAGTGTGAGTGAACTTTTGGTGATGAAGCGAAAAACTCGCTCAGTGCCTCGTATCTTCCTCCGTATATTTTACTCTTACTCTGTCCTCTTTTATCCTTTAGTCTCTTTTCACTTTCTTTCATTTTGTCACTTGTCGTCCAGTTCAATACTGTAGATTCTTTCATGCTGATCGTATTTAGAAACATTCTTTTGCAGACTCTAAATTCTTTGTTCTCGACTTTGAGGTAATACTTTAGTGAAAGTTTCTTCGACTGTTATCATTTGCCCCCCTTCTTCTTTTTACATCTTGTATTTTCACTAAACTCTGGAAATACGAGTACATTTTTCTGTTGAATATATATTCTCGGTTTTCCTGAGTCAATTTTCTACACTGTAGCTACATTTAGTTGTTGTCTTACAGTCGCAAACATTAAATAACATTTTCTCGTTTCGATGAATGTCATATTTCCATTTTCCATCAACCTTCACTTTGCTTTTATACGCTAAACCCTTTTCTCGGTTCGCTTGATTTACATTTTTTAACCATATTTATTGGTCAACATTGCTTATCCCTTTTTCTCTGGAATAACTCTTCTGATTGATCTTCCATTGCATATCCAGTGTTCTCTTCTTCTTCTTCCATCAAATCAACTGTTTAAGACGCGATACGATTATCTAAATTACATCTTAACTATCAATCATATATTTTTTCGACTTAATTACCTGGTTTCTTAATTTGAAATTCAATTCATATTTTCATTATGACGTACCTTGTGTGAGAGCAGAAATGTCAGTACAGTATTTTTTACAGCCCTTTTGGTTTGATAGAAAACAAAAAGCGAAATTCTTAGATATCTGTAAGTTCACAAAAATTATGTATCTCCCTCAAATGGCATCTATACACAAATACGCAACGTTATATAAAACTACGTATCTCCAGAAGCATACACAATGGCTTTTATAAAGATTATTATCGAATGTTGAATACTAAAATCACTGATAGAACATACTTAGGATACTCATCGGCCACCTTGCACAAAACAGCTTTCCAAAAAGTTGATTAGACACGTTAAGAACAACAAAATATGCGGAGCAACAAGTACTGATACGCAAACTGCAGTATTTACGAGTACATAGGGACTGGGCGCTTAGACATTTTTCGCGGGACACTAAACATCATCAGGAGATACGTATATTGCGTTGGCGGTTTTTAACATGTAAATAGTGATTTTGGGACTTGGATATTTTGTGCACCGAGAGGTTACCTTTATAGCTAAAAGAGGGCATAAAAATCTCATTTTTGAGAAAATGTGGATTTACGTGATTTTCTCCGGAAGGCGACGAAATGTTGTTCCCTCGAGTCCACCCTCTACCCGGACATTCCGAGAATTGAGTGAGTTTACGTCCAGAGTTCTTAGTACTCGAGGGATCTATCATCATTAATTCCTTTTTTGGGGAAGATAACCGACTGCGTAGCTTAGGTGTTGAACCATGCTGACATTCTTAAGACACTCTGGAAAAAGCTAACAGGTGGTACCGCCTTGGTCGACTGGTGCTTATCTACCACCATCTAAAACCCACTAAATTAAACAAAAATACCCAAAAGACGTACTTCGTAAGGTTTCTGAATGAGTTTTCTGTTTCCTGAGGTAAATAAAAAACAGTTTTGTCTCTAAGAGTATCGCATGCCTGAATGTCGCCAATCTGGAAAATCCGAGTGCAAATCCCATTTCAGAAGCCAAGAGGTTCAGTTGTACATTGGCATGTTGAATAGGAGAAAGCATGAGAAACGGACCTTGATATTCGTACCTTCATTTTTAAAAATACCTCTCTAAATCGATTTAGTCTGAATTCACCGTACCTGCCAAAGGCTTGCACACATTCCATCGACGATACGATAAACTGGAACCATCAATCATATTTGACTTTATACATATATAGCACGCAAAATAAATATTTTTCGGAACTGCTACTAGGCTTTATCAGAATTTATGTGGGATATTAATATTAAACGGCTCCCCTGTTCCCAGTTTATAGCGCTGTTTCCAGTTCATGCACCCTTTTTTTCGCTTGGGAGTGCTAGGCAGTTTTTTCGCCGATAAAAGCAATTTAGGTATACGGGCACATAGGTATTTCTAACATGTTCTTTGATTTGGGTTTAGTATTTCCACAGGATTATCAATACGCGATGTTATATTTTTGGTAAATGTATGTTAACTCCTGCAAATTATTCTGTGGTTTTCAGGTTTATAGTCCATTGTCTGGCCGAATCAAACCGCATACGAGTATACACCTACGTTTAAATTTCTGCTTATTGTGGGACGTTTAGACCACCACAGGGGATTTTTTCAAACGCTTACTTACTTAATCCGTTCCTTTTCCACCGGATCTAGCCAGTGTAGAGGATTTTTTAAATGCAATTGACAATTTTATGTGACAATATATTTTGTTTATCTGCCTTCCAGGTGGCATTTCATTTGTTTATTCTTTCCACATTCCTATACAGTCTGTTACTAGAACAGTCTAACAGTATACAAACTTAATATAACTTGAAAATCATAGATATTCTCTTGGATACAATACCTATAATCTCAGCATATTAAGTTTAAGATAAAAGTTTTTGATCACATCTTGGCACTTTTAATCATAAAAATAAGATTTTCTCTTTGTATAAGTAGGTAGGTGACTGATATTTTGTCATATTGAACATACCAGTTATGGTTTAAACGCGAGATGTTATGTTTTGCAATGCTTCAGCGTAGTCAGAATGGTTTCAAAAGTTTTTTTATGAATTTGTAGAATTATCAGATATTCAGCGACAAGTTTATCAATAGAAGAATTTCAAAATAGAGCCAATTCAAGTGTGAAATAATGCTTCCAGTGGTGTTTTGAAAATGCTATTAAAAACAGTTTTGGTTTATATTTTGTAGGCTGCAATTATTGCTTAAACATTCCAGTTACTGCTCACTACGCTCCTGATGGTGTAGTTTCTGCCTATCATGTTTCTATCCTCTTGATATGACGATCAAGTATTTCGCCATAACGTGATCCTTTGGACATATCTTTTATCCAATAAATATTGCCATTTTCAGAAAGTTGCCTCTCCTTGAGCAGAGTTAGATAGCACAGAATCACTAATATACAAACTGATTTTTTCTGTGACGGGAAAAAAGTTTAACATTATATCCCTGTTTACAGCTAAAAAAATGTCACTATTTATGAAATTACTTTTTCACCAGGAAAAAATGAGTACTTTTTTTTAAATCAAATCAAAAACTTAAATTGACAGCTATTTGGTTACTTTAAAAGTTTCCTTAGCAACGCAGGTCTAATTGTCGCTATAAGTACAACATAGCCTACTAATTTCAAAGTTCTAATTTCACATCGATAATTTATTGACTTAAATATTCTAATATAATTTTTCAATATTAAATCGTCGTTTTTCCCGTCGTACTTTTTCCCTTGTATGATAAATAACTATATTTTTCGAAAAGTCCGGGCCTGTTTCGCAGTGAATATGCATGCAGCTCGAGGTATCTACTGACAAATGGATAAACTAAGATGTATGTCTATGGTATATATATATATATATATATATGACACGTCCGTAGAAAACTATAATTGAATAGTGCAGATAGTGCTTCATAGATGACGCAAATAGTTAAATCAAATTGTACACCACAGATGGCACAAATAAATAGTTTGAGTATTGTACCACAGATGGCGATCTTTGCTCGACTAATCCAGGGTAAATCATGTCATTTGATGTTGCCAAGCTATAATACGTTTTTGCTTTAAAACATTTGAAAATTGATAGCTTCCATAAGCATCTATTACACAGGGCGAGATTAGTAGCCGATCGCCGGCGAGTAGCGAGTGAGCGAGTAGAACACGCTCAGCGAGCGCAAATTACACAGCGCTAGTAAAATCGCTTTACTCGCATCGTATTGAACCTTTGAAAAGTGTTTAGTTTGTATCTTTTGTGCGATAATAGAATCTAAAATGGCTGTTAGATGGAACAGTAATCAAATTATACAGTTCTTAAAAGTCTATGAACAATTTCCCGTTTTATGGAATATAAAACACAAAGATTACGTTAATATCAAACTCAAAGATGTTTTATTCAAGAAAATGTGGGAGCAATTAGAGGATAAAGGGCTTTTAAAAGGAATGGACGAAAAACAACTAAAGATGTGTTTCGTCAAGATCTGGCCAAGATAGAACGAAGCAAAAAAAGTGGCTGTGGAACAGAGGATATTTATACCCCAAAGCTAACATGGTTTGAAGCTGCCCATTTTTTCGCTGAAGTTTTGTCAACAAGGCATAGTAATTCAAACTTGGTAAGGAGATTTTAGAGCTATATATTTTTTATTCATACTTAAGCAAATTATACATAACAAATAAAGTTAAATTTTCTTAGCACTTTGAGCAGAATTAATTTGAAAAATAATAAATCACTTAAAAATATAAAAATTGTTCAAGCTAATTCCAATCCCACTTTCTTCCATTGCCACGGTAAAGGATTGTCTTCCATAAAATACTTAGCGTATTTGCGTCTTACTTCCTCTGCAGAATTTTTGTAGTTGTTGCTTCCCAAATGACTAACCGTTGGCAGATTATTCACGTGGTTTCTCCATTGCCCAAAAGTAATATTGCCCGTGTAAGATCGTCTCTATCCACGGCATTTTCAGGAAAATAAGTATTTGGGCTACTTTTTTTCAGCCAGTTGTGGAGACTACATGCTGCCAAAATAACATTGTCAATTGTAGTTTCTTTTAATTGAATTGGTCTTGAAAATATTCTGAAGCGCCACTCAAGAATACCAAATGCATTTTCAGATACTCTTCTTGCGCGAGAGAGTCGGTAGTTGAATATCCTTTCAGTATTATTGAGCTGTGACTTACTGTAGGGTTTCATTAAGTTGGTTCTCAATGGAAAGGCATCGTCCCCAACAATGACCGAATTTTCAGGCATGTTAAGTGTGTTATTTTGCATTGCTATGTTCAAAGTACTGTCTCTAAATATTGCACTGTCACTAGCTCGGCCGTTTGCTCCAATATCAATGTAAGTAAAGCAATAATCTGCGTCCACCATTGCGAATAACACGATACTATATTTTTATTTGTAATTAAAGTACATTGACCCAGACTTGGGAGGTTTTTTAATCAGAACATGCTTGCCATCAATTGCTCCACAACATCTTGGGAAATTCCAATGAAGGAAAAAATTGTATTGAATTTGTTTCCATTCATTGCTTGTTGAAGGCATCTGCAAGAAAAAAATATGATTTAAAAAATTTGTTCAATTCTTAAATCAAGCAAAAAGTTGAAAAAATCTTTACAAGTTTGTTCTAATTTTTTTCAGACTCTACCCAGCACACAAAATATATCTGAGGAAATCTCAAATTCTCAAATTGAACAGCGTGACGATGAAGAACCCGATACGCAGCCCAAGGAACAAAATATAAAACCCTCAGAGGGGATGGGACCCCCTAAATCGAAAAAAAGGGTGAGAAAACAGGCAGATCCAGAAATTGGCGATGCAATCAGTCAGTTGAATAAAATAGCTGAAAATGTATCAGAAGGAAAACCGTACGACGAATTTGGAAAGTATGTAGCTGCAGAGCTGCGTCAATTACCCCAACGTGAGGCTATTTTATTGCAGCAAGAAATTCAGAATTCTATTACACGTGTAAAGCTAATGTGTTTGGGAAATGATAATCAACTAAATAATTACTACAGAGAGCCCCTTCAAGTGCAAACTTTTCCACCGTTATCCTCCCCCAGTGATCCCAGCCCTGCCTCATCAGCAACATATGAAGCAAATGTGCAAAATGACAAAGATAGCGTTTATGGTAACGATGTTATTCATCAAGCACTATTAAATACATTTTCGGGGGCAGAGTTTGAAATAGTAGAAGAAGTTTCTCAATGAAATAGATTCTATTTTTCATATAATTATAAAAATATTTTGTTTTATAAGTATAAGTACTGTGTTAAAAATAAATTGATACTTAAATTAAACCTACCTTTATATATGGCTTTAGGACCTGACAAATTGCTGCAAGTACTTCGGGTACAAACAATGAAATTGTACATTCAGGCACTCGAAATAAATATTCTAGTGATTTGAACGAATCACCAGTTGCCAAAAAGCGTAGGGTTATTTCTAGTTTTGTAGCAGTTGGAATCGCCATCCTCATTTTTGTGTCTTTTTGCGGATTGTTTCGTCAACCATTTGTAATAGTACATTAAAGTGTTCATTGCTCATTCTCAAAACATTCCTATATGCCACAGGATCTTCATCCTTTAATTGTTTTAATAAAATATTAGAAGCCCCATGTGTGTCCCGTTTTGAAATCCAATTCCTGACCCACATCCGTCTCGCTTTCCTTTTTTTCTGGTTTAACCGTTCTTGAAGTTTTTTCCGAATTAAAAGGCTGACAAAAACAATTCCTACACGCACTATATCGGCCATTTTATCCAAGTAGTCGGGCTTTAGCTTATTACACATAGCGTATACACTCGTCAGAGAGAAAAATTGCGAGCGAGTAGCGAGAAAAGTAGGCCGGTGTTCAACTTTACTCGCTGGGAAAAAGCGAGCCGCGAGTTTACTAGCAGCTGCGATTACATTTAACGACTTTTATAGCAGCGAGTAAATTCGCTGACGAGTTACTACTAATCTCGCCCTGTGTAATAGATGCTTTATAAACAAGAACATCGACTGTTACCACGAGAAGCAAAGAACTCAATTCATCCTAAAATTTTCGTTTTCTCATAACAAGACATGGCAACAAAATTCGTTGATATCAAAGAAGAGCAACGACAACAATCGAAAAAGTCGCATTAATAAAGTAGAGTCCAGCCTCCAGCGTGAAGATCCGGCAACGCCGAAGGAAATTAATTGACGTTTCGGTGACGTTATTTATCTGTTTGTGGTTATGTTGTTTTTTTTTAGTTTAAAAGTTTACCCAAATTAAAAGATAATACTAAAAAAATGTCGAACAGCCACTTATTTTTAAAACCTGGCTTCATAAATGTGCCGCTACAGAACGGTGTAGGACGATATGTTAGTCAGTTACAACGGGTCGTTTTGAAGTTCTGCAAAAACAATGGATCTAGTCGTGGCATGAGGTATGAAGTGGAGGTATAATAGTTATTTTGTACAATTTCTACAAATATTTTGCGCTTTTAGGGAATTTATAGAATCAGGACTTGTGAATTTTGCCAAGGAAAACCCTGGCGTGGTTGTTTACCTGAAGCCTAGAAGACATAGGTCAGCAGTTATCAAAGCTGAGTACTGTGAGTGGAAATTTTATTTTCATTGAAAAAACAGTTGCCCTCTTCTCTCAAGCTTGAAGAGTGAAGAGAAAATTTCTCATAAAAATTTAATCAGAACAAAATTGATCAGGTATAAGGTTCTCCCCAAGCAAAATCAATTTCCATTACATAAATTACTAGGATAGGATTAGTTGAAATCTTCATTGGACTCTTTACTAAAAGCCTTAGCCTTTATGTGCTTTATAACAAAGGGAGAAATCTCAAAACCAGCACTTAGGGCCTCCTTGATTTTCTGAAGGCGCATACAGACCATTTATTTGCGTTGTGCGCTCATGCATAATGGAGAATACTGAAGCACTGTGTGAACTTGTCCAACATTATGAAAAAAACAGAGTGTTATGGGACTCGAAACATTCTGATTATTATAATAAATGTAAAAGGGAAGACGCATGCCATCAAAGATCACAACAATCTGCACCTCTCGCCTTGCCGGAGCCATTTCTCTTACTGTCCTATACCGTGTGTGGTTGTTTGCGTGCTCAGCATGAGCATGTGTCGTTCGGGATGCATGCATAAATGTACCGTCGTATGCCTCAGGGTGAAGTCAGAGGAAGTCATCGCTAGTCTTTTTTTTCTAGCTCAGTGGCAGAGATCAGCTTGTCACTCTGAATTCTTGCTTGTAGAATACTGTAATTAGCGAAGCTCTGGATTGGGTTGATCATGCAGGAAATGAGGTAGTTGCTATGTAAGAGGTACAGTGTCGGAGTCAAGACCGATCCCTGGGGAACACCCGCGTTCTCGTTGTGGGATGAAGAGGAGAACCCGTCAATTACGACGGATATCTTGCGGCCAGAGATAAAGTCAGCCACCCATCTGCAAAGCTTTTCTGGGTGGCCATAGGATAGAAATTTGCTTAAGAGGGCAGCGTGCCTCAGCTGATCGAACGTTGCGTGATGTCAAGAGCAACAACATGAGCCTCACCATAAGACTGGATGAGCTTACTACACAATTGTGTGTCGTAATCTGGGAGATCCCCTGTGGATCGCTGGTGCTGGAACCCATACTGCCTGTCGCTAATCAATCTGTGACGTTCGAGGTAGTCCAGAAGCTCGCAATTTATGCACCTCTCCATCACCTTACTTATAACAGAAAGCAGAGCTATAGGCCTGTAGTTGTATAGTGTCGGTCTTGGATCCTTTATTTGGGATGGGTTGGACATGAGCAAATTTCCAGTTTTCTGGGAAGGTTCCGTGGTGGAGTTGGCAGCAAAGATCTTGGCAAACACTTCCGCGGTGGCCTTTGAGTCACCATGAAAAACTATGAAAATCAATGAGAGCATAAAGGCATCCTACAATTATTGTAGGGAACGGCTGACGATCTGATGATCTAGGGAAAACATGGCATAGGATAAAATGGGAGGAAGTCTCAGTCTTGCACAGTGAGGATAATAATTACAAAAGGAATCAACTTATAGAAAATCACACAATTGCATTTCTTGTTCTTATGTGGACTGTGACCCAATTTAGTTAAGCAATATCTAATTAATATTCTCCAACCCAACTAATGGACCATAAGCCTTTTACTTCCAGGTTTTTTCCTATGGTTTGTTGTGGGATCTCAGATGTGGAATGTTTTACTTTATCATTTCAATGCCAAACTGTTATATTATTTAGTCACAACATAAACAACATGGATCCCTTCAGATGTTGAAAGTACTATTTAACTTGCATTACAGATCCATAAATAATGTCTGTGCAGTATTTGTAGTTGAGGATTGCATAACAATTAAACTGTGTTGCAATAACACTTCTGGGTAGATTTTCACATTCTCAGAGGACTCTTGGCGTTTTTGGGATGATGGATGAGGGTGGCGTGTCTGGTAGATTGAAACGACAGCTAACCTCATGCTGCAGGTGGTACCAGGCTTTGGTGATTTAAGGTGCTACTATCTCAAAATTACAATGATGGCTTCACACAATCTCAGCTTGTTACAGGACTGTTCAGACTGTTGTTGTAGCACACTGTATCAGAATGTAAAAAAAATAAACAAACTGTACTTGAAGATGGGTGTAATTCAAACATATGTAGTTTCAGTTAATGGCAGACAAACATGTAGGATTATCAGCATAAACCATACAGGATAAATTTCAGGTGTTGTTTCAAAGTTTGCAAATAACTTAAAATAGCATGTTGGGCGAAAAAGTAGTCCTAGTAAAGTTCCATATACTTATGAATTCACAAATCATCATGAAAGAAAAAACAGATAAGACAAAGGAATCCAAATAGGAAGAACATAATTAAAAAAGTAAAGTAGCTGTGCTTTATGGAACTTTCATCAAAAAATGTTTGAAGAAGCCCAATTCCATTTTGACCTCGATATGTCTATATTGAAATTCCACCAATAAATTCAACTGCTTGAACCCAAATATATCTTATTGTAATAAATGTGAATTGTATCATACTATGTAGTTTGAGGTAGCCACACAATAGCCTGTCTGGTTTGCCTATATGGTCACACGTATCAGGTAAGCTTGAGCCGAGTGCTGAAATGACATACTTGCAATGGTAAACCTGTACAAACTCCATGCCCCTTTTGTATAATGGAGCAAACGCGCTGGATAACTAATGCTCAAGGCAGGCAACATGCTTTCTTCAAGTGTAATCAGTTAAGCTGCATGTATTTACCGATAGGTAAAAAGTAAAATAATTAAAAAACGTATGTCTACCTGTGGAAATATGCTGCATATGCACATGGTATATGCAAAGATTGACCTGTATAATAGCATATTTAAATCTCATTCGCTCATTGCTGCCTGCCCCAGCCATTTGTGGCTTGCTCACCAATACGAATGCACGTATTTGAAGGTCGCGCGCTGTTTGTTTTAGTATAGAATACACAATCGTTCAACTGTTTAGCCAGTCATACATGCTAGGATATACCTGAACAACTGAACTATACAGGTAAGCCAGACTGTATCTAATACAACAATTTAGGTGTCCATCCCAGCATAGGTGACCTGAGAAAATACGATTTTTTACATGTGCAGTTTAAGCAGATGCACTTGAACTAATCATGTGTGGTACTTATCTGTCCCATACGACAGTGGTCTGATAACTGCTTGAGTATACAAAATAACTTTGGTTTGAACACAGGTCACTGTTTAATGTGAGTACTATACTCAGCATTCAGCTCAAACTTTCCTGACAGGTGTGGATTTATACACAAACCTAGTGTGTATGAGTGGCTTAAAATACATGTTTTGTTTTGTTTCAGTGAATGGAGATGAACAGTGGATGAGCTGCAGAAACTCCACACAAGAAGAGATCTCAAAATGGTTGAATCTGCTCGTTTGTCAGTCCAAGAACCACACAGGAACTAGAATTCGGAAGTTATGGCACACAGATCACCCATCCATCCAGGGCCCATGGACACCGTTTACATTCAGAGATCCAAAGCTGAACTTGGCCACATTCCCGAATGAAGAGTTGGCTAAGCCCAAAGACAGTGATGTGTCCAATCATGAGAGGTTAATTGAGCTGTTCAAAAAGCAGAAGTTAGGAGATTTAGAAAATAGAAGAGGGGAATAGTAATATATTGTTTCCGTTGAAATTTAGATTGTTAGTTAGATTTAACACACCAATAAACATTTTCAAAGTAATATTGCATATTTCACAGTTTGATTTTCAATGCTGTAATGAAAATGTGTAAAGATTGTGGCTTGCGAGGTTTCTAATTCTTACAATACTTATTGATATCACTATTAAGGAAAGTGAAATCTGTAGCTAACAGGAGGATCCAACAAGAGACATCTAGAACTTTACCTTTACCAAAGGTCGTTATATTACAAAATTCATTGAAAAATATAGGATGCTAAATTGACATATATGTATCCTCGATAATTGCTTCACTTTTCAAGTCATTATACTTAGCACATCGAGACAGTATCTAGAGTGGTGCTATTTTTTGCTATATGAAACACATTTGTATCATAACAAAGGCTAGCTCAAGTTTCACTGTATATATCAGTAGTAGCAACTGAAGTCTTTATTTAGTCCTGCATATTTTCTTGTTTTGTGGATCAGCTATAGCGCATCATCAGGGCACAAGATTTGTAATACCATTACTCATAAAAATGGCAGCAAGTAGATTGACTCTGCACTTCCTAGGCAACGCCGTCATCACTTCATAAAGGAATAAATTCAGCACAAGTTAAACCTTCTGACAAAGAAATTGGTACATGTACAACAGAGAAATTAAACGGATCGACTTAATCAAGCAGGCCCACACTATTAGTCCATAGATATGCTTTCCCTACCGGCAGTTACCGTCGATATGGCAACGTTACCTCTTCCCATATCGGCAGATGCGTCAGCGCCCACCAAAGCACCGCCGCAGTTCGAGCAGAACAATCAAGCAGACCGTTACACCGGGCGCTGAGCCCAGACAGCAGGAGACGCGCATCAAACACATTCTTAATGACAAATGCACGGGGAAACCTATGATGTATGAAATATGGCTAATAGGTGCGTAGAATTACCGGGGTTAGCAGCGTATATATATCAAAAAAATTGCGATATATCACCTCCAATTATTTACCCCTAACAAATTTTTCAAAAATGATCAGGGTCCTTTGAAACGTCAAAAACGAAGTATGGCCGACTTTTGTCTTTGGCCTATTATCCGCAGCCAATGGACCGATTTTAAAAACTATAAAGCAGTTTTGTCCTTGGCATAATAGTAACCTTGTGCGAAAATTTCATGAAATACGACTGGTACTTTCCAAGCTATACACGGGCCAAGGATTAGCCCACAGACAGAGACTCATTTGAGTAACATTGTTTTTCGTAATGTACATGTCATATAACATCCAAAAAATATAATATCCCATTCGAAATTTTTCGCGATTACAATGCTTCCTCGCCAGTACATGTCTGAAGTGAAAATCTCACTTCTCGGTTACATGGTTGAATTGCAAACGTTGCAATTCACTGCTCATCTATGTCCAAGTTTATTTCACATGATCCAAGGGATTTTGGTAAAATGGGATCAACCTAATAGTGCCAGTAGATTCAATGATTTATAGCCGAATTCTTATTTAATAGTTAGACGGAGGTTATACTCCGAGGTGACGGAGATGGGTGCGTATAGGATTGCCTCATGGGCCTAATAGAATCAACACTAGTCAAATGGCATTCTCGCAATCTTCGCGCTTTTATATTGTCTTACAATCCTGCACGGATTAACACTGGGGCAATCGACAGCAGTTATTGAATGTTTTGCCGTGACATAAATGAAGAGTTGAAATTATTGTTTAACCCTCACCAAGAAAAATATGCAAATACAAAAATTCCCCAGACTGGGACAAAATCACGATTTGTGTCGTTCCAAAACCGACCTCTCAGTCCAATCGGAGGGCCGGAACGAAAATACGACATCGTACCGCCGCCTTGCATTTGTTTTGCGGATCCGCGAAGCAATCACATATCACATTCAAGGACCGAAGTTCCATGCGTCAAACGATACGTTATGTTCGCGGTTTTGAACGCTTTCAAATTGACAGAAGAAACAAACGGCAATGGATGAAATAAACTTACATACGATTTATATGGACATTAAAGTCGTAATCATTTTTAGACTGTTTACACAATACATAATGTTGTTTCATGTAGAACAAATAAGTAGCTGTCATTCCTACTATTTTAAACATTTATCAATCAACAATAATATGAAAATCTTTTCGTTAGCGTCAACACTTTAAATAAAATGAAGCACCAGCAACAAGTAGATTTCGTAAAGCGACAGACTCCAATACTCCAATAAATTTGATGATTTGAGTCTCCATGGGGAAATGGTGGAGTTGAAATCACCAATCTATCGTACATCTGGCAACAATGACTACCTTAGCGACCGGCAGGGTTATAATGTAACAAGATATAATATATAACCCCCATAGCACGAAATATTCATTAGCAATTTATTCAATATTTAATAATATGTTAATCTTATTTAAATATTTGTTATCTAAGGGCTGGCAGAACCGCGGTTGACAGATGAACACTTTTCAGACATCTATGGATACCCTATGTACCTATAACCATGGGATCACTATAATAATGTTGGTTTTTTTTGCCGCGGGTGTAGCTAAGCAAGTGTAAAGACATAATTGTCCATATTAATTTATATTATTTATATTTATAGGATTTATACTTCACATATGTATATTCTTTGACCTGGGGATGACATCAGTCTTTCTACAACAGATGCTAGGATTATGATGTCGCCAAATTTCAAATCTCTATCACACGTTACGTAAATATAGTATGTCCCTCCAGTGAGGTTTTTCGTATTAATATGAATTTACCGTTGCATCTTATAACTCATTAAAAATATGTCTGCGGAAAAAACGTGCGTCCATATACGAACAGCAGATTTCGATTTTGGCGCCATCAGAATTCATCGTGAATTGTTTGGCCTAGGGAGCGTGTACGTGTGACCCCGAGCGACCAATGGCATAATGGCAAGACGTCCTGAACCTGAGCGGCACGGGTATTATGTACAGGTGTTTCTTTACATATCGCACTTGTATGCTGCTAGTGTCGGCTTGCATTTTATTGGTCTTGGCTTGTATTTTATTGGTCTCTGCCTGCAGTTTGCAACCTGTTGAGGAATCATTACTTAACTGAATATATACAGTACCAGCAAAAGTAGATAAACAAACCACATTACAAATAAAAATCCAGAAAGATTTACTCTAACCCAAAACTGTACACTAAAGTTTTTTATGTATGACTACCTCAAGATAATGAAATGCTATCTTTGTATACATTCTTTTTTTTCAATATAATATGGTCGGTTTTTTGTTCAACGAGCAAAAGTAGATAAACATTTTGTAAATATTTAGTTTATATTTAGTCCTTGATTAGAATAGTTGTTATTTTTTAGTGTATTTGGTAAAGTGTAGTTCAAAAACATGACCAGAGGAATTACATTGAATTTGCAAATAAAAGAATTGATTATTTTAAAATATAGATCAGGCATTAAACAAGCAACCATAGCCAAACAGCTAAGACTGGTAGACCGCGAAAAACCACACCTAGGATTGATAGGAAAATTAAAACACTTGCTCTTAAAAATCCATTTACTACTGCTGTCGACATAAAAGCTAACTTGAAGAAGTAAATATTGGTGTCCACACTGTTCGAAGACGTATAAGGGAGAGTGATTTACCAGCAAGGAGTCCATCTAAAAAACCTTTTATTTACAAGAAAAATCGGACCGCCCGTCTTCTATTTGCTTACGATCATTTGAGGTGGTCTGAAACAAGCTGGAATTCTGTATTATTTTCTGATGAAAGTAAATTTAATTTATTTTCATTGGATGGAATTTGGGTAAGACATCCTAAAAACAAGCGATTTGATCCTAAGTTCACTTTGGGCACAATTAAACACGGAGGCGGGAAGGTTCAAGTATGGAGTTGCTTCTGTGGTCTTCAAATGGGACCCATCGTCAAAATTGAAGGAATTATGGACCAGTACAAATACTTGGAAATGTTAACTGATACCATGCTACCTTATGCAGAAGAAAACATGCCTCTACACTGGCGGTTCCAGCACGACAACGACCGCAAGCACACAGCGAAAATAATAAAAACATTTTTTGCAGATCACAATATTAATGTCATTAAGTGGCCAGCTCAGCGTCCAGATATTAAACCCATAGAGAACCTATGGGATTTAGTTGATAAAAAAATTCGTACTGAACATCCAGAAAATTTCAAAAATAGTTCGAACTATTTGAAACAATCGAAGTCGCCTGGAATTCTATTCCAAAATAAACAATAGATAGCCTAATTGGTTCTATGAGGAAAATATGTCTAGCAATTATCAAAAATAAAGGTTATGCAACCAAGTATTAGCTTCTTTGTATACGACAATTTCTTTGTATATTATGTTTCTCTATTTTTGCTCACTGTATTTTCTAATAATTGTATTTTCTAATAATAATTGTTAACATAGTTTTATTAAAGCAGAAATTTTATTTTCATGTTGGCTTTGAATTACATATTACATTAAGTTATAATAAAACATAAGTGTTTATTTTACTTTAATAGTTTCATAAAATCATTAAAAAAATAAAATGTTTCTCCACTTTTGCTCGGTACTGTATATACAATATAGAAAAATAATGGACAAAATGCGGAAAAAGAAGGAAACTGGATTCGAGCAGAAAATAGGTTAGGTAACCCGAGCGATACGTATTTCCTTCCTTTTTGCGGATTTTGCCCATTATTTTTTTTATTTGTTATATACCTTTCTGCGCAGGGTCCTTTTCACTCTCTATAGGTATTCATATATTGAGCCGTGGTCACTGTCGGCTAAATAACCAGTTAAATTTATTTAGGTGTGAAAAGCTTCAGCCTTTAGTTTCTACATTTGAAAAATAGCAACTACATGTGCATGATTGATTTTAAATTACTTACAACAGTAGGTGAGAGATATATAATAGTAATTATATATTAAATTGTAACTTAAAGACTTTGTCAGCATACAGATACTACTGATTTTAACAGACGTTATACACGTTAGGAAGTTTTATATTAGTAATTAAGTGAAAAAAATATGAACATTCTAACATAGAACAGGTATCTAATTTAACTGAAGGTATAGAGTAAGTTAATCATTATAAAGTTTGCAAGGCATTTGTTGAAATGAAGTGTAATATCGGAAGTTGGACCTTTCCACACCGCGCATCGAAATATTTGTAACTGCTTCCGTTCATAATATTACAATGATGTCGTTTTTGAAGTGATTCTAATTGAACTATGCATTTTTGCCCGGCTGAGATATTTGATTCGCTACTGTTCAAGTGCCGATGAAATGCTTAACCCATTGGCAACCACTAATTAATGATGATATCACAATATAAGCACACTCTCGCAAATAGATTATGAAGTGGAGTTCATTCCAGAACAACAAACAGTTTATTCGTTTTTCCTATTTCACCTTTTTTTATAATAAGTATGTCATATTAGGTGAAATGCGTTTATTTTCCAAGATGTGTGGCTTTAATTATTGACAATAAAAAGCGACGTGTCTTTTATTTATGTTTCACTTTCAAATTCAAATTTAATGTTTTCCAAAAATCTCCTGTATACATATGTGTATATGCCTAAAGTTTAATCATCATTCGTATTATTTCTGACTATGACTAACAACAATTACCAACCAGATGTTGAGGCTGTCAAAGCTTCATCTGTCGTTGCTGCAGCGGGCTCGGCTGAGGTTGATAGATTATCTAAAAATTCTAAATTATTAACTGTACGAAATTAACAAACAGTAAGACCTATGAAACAAATGAGTTGAATGTATTTAGAAAAAATGTTCAAGCCTTTTATATCTTGAAAATACCAATATAATTTTTGTAACCATTTCCCAAGTAACTACTTTATATCAAAAGTTACACGGCAAGCAACTGGAAAATCAAATAATGTAATGTGAATAAAGATTGTATTCATCTTCTGTGCCTGATAAAGTGGTAATTACCTTCTGTATTTCCTTCACTTAATGGTGTCTGGGCTACTTCGTTACCCTACAAGAAATCACTTGTCAATCAATATAATTCATGAAAATATTGCTAATACTATTAACACTGGTAATCATGTCAATATCAATAGTATAGACAAATGAAGCATTTGTCCCAGTATTAACATTATTTCTAGAGTGCCTTCTTTCTACTTGACTTTGTATGGTATATGGGCAACCAGACCTAACCTCCATACTAATAAAACGTTAAACAAGAGCAAAGATTCCAAGGACTCGTATGCCTGACAATAAGGGCAGATTAGGTCAAATTACTCACATCAATTTTACATCAAAAAGTTTTGGATTATGTAACAACTGCTTTCAAAGTAGTAGTTCAGGAGATATCCAGTACTACCACCAACCCTTTCATATATCATATCTATACATGTAGTTGTTACTTACAAAGAGAGGGACTTTATGTTCTGCATCCCGAGAAACAGCAGCTTCCCCAATCTGGACAAAGAGGTGACCTGTGCTGGGCCACCCCCAGTACTGGTTGCATCTTGTTTGTATAAGACGGCCCTGTTCTTCACCCTCAATTTAAGGTCTGTCCAGTACTGCAAAGGAGGCAAGTGTGTGGGAAATATGTCGGAAACAATACAAATAGCAGATTTGTGCTAAATGGTGAAATGAAAATGGCAACATTGACTAATAATAAGTACCAACATGTGATGTTGTATAATCATAGAGGAAACATACCATATGTTCAGTCCCTTCAGGGATACATGCACCAAAAGGCAATCCTAGATTAGAGTATCCGAAATAATGATATCAGGCCAAATATACACATTTCTTTGTAAAGTATCCCTAATTACAATAATCAAAGTTTAATTGTCAAAATCATTATTTCTAAAAATGTTTTTGTGATATCAACACACAAGCTAAATCATTATGAAATGATCCACAAATTATTGCAAAGCAATGTTTAAGTGCATGCAATCATCAATCAGAATTTAGTTTTTCATAAATTGAAATTAAAAGAAAAACATTATCTGTGGAAAAATGAATATTTTTCTAATCTTCTATATACATATCTTCACTTTTAATGTATCTGGTAAATTAGAATGTACCTGGAGGTAGACCTACTTGATTTTTTTTAGAATATATACTTTTATACCTGCATTTATATGGATCAAAATATTTAAATTTCACCCTTTTTCTCAATCAAGTCACAGTAAAAGTAAAATCAATCCTAAGTGATCGAAGGCAAGTTGTCAGGGTGAATGATTGTTTGACACATTTTTGTGTCCTCTGGAGTTCCTTCCACAGGGAGCACATCTTGCACCACTGCTTTTTAATTTATATATTAATGATTATAAGTGATTGTTTTTTATACTCTAATTTTATGTTATATGCTGACGATGTAAAAATATTTTGCAAAATTCAGGAAGTGATAAAGTTACAAAGTGACAGATAGGTTTTATGACTGGTGTGAGAGTAATATAGGCTGTATGTCAATATAGATTAATGTATGTGTATTCAGTTCTCCAAATCTTTAACCGTATCAGAAAATACTTACTCTGTTGAAATGGCTATCTTGAAAAATGCTAAGTCAGTTAGGGATCGAGAGTAATTTTTGATTCAAAGTTAACTTTTGCTCAGTATATAGAGAGTTGCTGCAGGAAGACTTTGTGGATGTTGGGTTTCATACAGAGAAATACTAAAGAGTTTACAGAAATTTTTTCTATAAAACCATTACATCTCTCATCAGATCTCATTTAGAAGGATCTACTAGTGTCTGGAACCCCTACTATCAAGTCCACATTGATAAATTGAATTCTATTTAGAGAAAATTTATTATATATAGCTTATAAAAACATCCCCTAGACTGCATAAACTATAGGGATATGGAATCTGATCTAAAACTCAACAGTCTGGTCAAGCTTAGAGAAAATGTTGACACCCTTTTGAGTCACAAAATTATTACCGGACTAATAAATAGTCCAAACTCTTGGGCATTATAGATTTAAATGTTCCTCCTAGGACCATAAGAGGCGTGCATTCAAACTAGCTCGACATCGCATCCTATACGGTCATCACTTGCCCCTATATAATATATTGCAAAATGCAAACAAATTTTAGGGCGTTATTTTTTACATATCCCATGATTTCCTGAAACGAACCTTAAAAAATGTTACCTGACCTTTTATACATGTTCTTTCTGATTGTTGTTGTTGTTTTAATTACTTTCGATAACCTGTTGATCGAAATATTTGGATGCTGTAGTGAATCTTGTTTCTTTATTTAGCGGAAATTTTATTCATTTTTTAGAAGGTACAATATTTAAGAATTATTTTTTGTTTATACTCCAACCACCACGAAGGCTTAAGGCCTAAACACCCATGGGGTACCGTGGGGCTATAGGGGATACAGGGAAAAGGGGAACGTCACACGGACTCTGACGAGGGAACACGTGTGCATGCAACATGCACACATTCTGGCCCCGCCTACGAGATCCGCCGGGTGGTACCTCCGCGTTCGACAGTCAGAGACCGTCTACCACCTACGGACAATCACAACATCCATAGCCAAAAGAAAAATTTCTCCTGGGACGAGATTCCAACCCGCACAGTGCACGGCGACTGATCAGGAGACCGAAGAGTCTACTACTGCGGCCAGCGCTGCAGCCTATAAATGTTGATGTTCACAAAAACCATTTTTTTTGAGGTTATTAAACAATGATTAAAGGTTGGTTTATTAAAAGTTAAATTCCTATTTACAATTAATTTATGTCATAATATTTTCGACAACTGCTAGAAGAAAATCGAGCAGTTTGTCGCCAATGAAAGAGAATATATAACAAGCATGTCTTCACAGCTTAGTAGCAGCTCAAAAAGCTCGATTCTGATGAATGATGACGTTTTAGTATGTAGGTACAACTTTTGACCAGTATTTAGAGCTATTTAGTTGAAAAGCAATGCTTCTTTAAGGTAACTGAAAATAGTTTTATTCCTAGGAAACAAAACACCCTTTAATCTTACTAAATCTAGGAGTAACCTAATCAGCAAATAAGCATATGCATCTGAATTAGAATTAGAAAGCTTTGAAGAATGGCTAGTATAAAAAGTAATTATAGTGCACTGGTTCTATGTTTAAATTGCTAATATCTTGTATGGAATATAGTAAATAAGTGTATACAAAAACTTTTCAAAATTAATATTTGAAATTGGTTTTCTTTCATAAGGTGTCAGAATTCAGGAGAATTAGCGGACAGTCTGCAACTCAGCAGACACGTAACATACTCTATAAGTCTCACTAATGAATTAGCAATGGGTTATTCTTGGCATGGTCATAAACAATTGCTGCAAGCTAAATGTGCATTAGGTATGTATTAACAATTTTCATTCTACAGTTTCTAGAACTATATTATATGTAGGGTTACCAGGTATCCTGGATTGTAGAGGGAGTTCTGAATTTGAGGCAGGCATTTAGGCCCAAAACTTTTAATATCTTGAATTTCATAAAAAATATTACTATTACAAATTGCACTTGAGGTTTTTAATTCGGTTCTGTTACTCACTAGATGAAAAAAAATGTTTTCCTTCATGTTGCAACTTCTGATGTGACACTGCTTGTCGGCTTCCATTTTGCCTGTATGTTTGACTGTGACAGCGTGCATTCTGTGTACCTCCAGGTGGTACATTATTTGAGTGTGTTTTTTTGTGTGAAAAGGGTAAGTTTTGCGATAATTACTAAGCTTAATTTATCTGACTAAAGTAAACATATTATTGTGCCAGCTGAGTATAAAAGACATTTTCAAGATCATAAATAACTAGCCTTGAAGTGTGACAGAGTTATTTGCGATAGAATATAAAAGGACCAGCATACTTCTTATAGGACTTTGGTGGATTGATCTGAAAATTTATAAGATGATATTTATAACATCCAATGAAAAGTCACCAGAATCACAACTTGATCGAAATACATCAAAAATCTTTTTTTTTAAATATCTCTCGTCATTTAATAATTGATTTTATTGAAAGTTGGCAGCGGTATTTATATCTTAGTAGGGGGCAAATCAGGTATAACTATTTTAAAATTTTCAAGTTTTACAGTGTGTTGTTCCACAGATTTTAGCATTCGAAAATATTATATTTTTGTCTCTTGAACTCTTGAATTATAACTGAAAGATCTCAAAATAGTTGTGGTTAAATTATCACCCTACTAGTGCAAAAAAATAAGTGGTCCATTTTTAAAAACCATTTTTTGAAAGCTAGTCTAAGGATTAAGTTGTGTCCATGGACATTTTTCATCAAGATATCTAAAACATACCAAATTTTCATTAAAATTACCAATTCTCGAAGAAGTATATGCCGAGTCTCTTTATGTACATTATAGAGCTGCTTTTCAGTGTCCCAGTTGAATTGAATCACTCGGAGATACTCAGCGGTGCTTAGCATCCGTATTGTGCCACTGCATTTTATATTCCCATACATACAATTTCTCGAGCGGTTCAGGAGAATATCACTCTCAAACAGAAAACCACTGGAAAGCAACTTATGTATTAAATAATACTATAGGGTGATTCAAATTGGATTTCCACATTAGAAGTATTTAAAAAAAAGGAAGAAATTGAAAATTAAAAAAGTATGTATTTGTCCTTTCAGGGCAGTTCATTACAATTATGCATGAAAGATGATATCAAGTAAATGACCGCCGCGGCTCATGTGGCATGACGTAATCCGTTTCGAGAAATTTTCGACTACTCCGTGGCACAAATCAGGTCCTATGTTGGTAATTCCGCGACTTTTCAGCTCCGCAATTGTGTTCGGGTTATTTTTGTAGACTTTGCTCTTGAAATACCCCCAAAGAAAATAATCCAAGAGAGTTAAATCACAGGATCGCGGCGGCCAATTGATATCGCCGTTACGTGAAATAACGCGACCTGGAAACTTGCCGCGCAGTAATTATTGTATCTTTCCCCTGATGTGCGGCTTCAATTCCTATGTTATTTGGATTCTGTATGGGTGTAACTTCAAATCTTTTGTTAAAATCCGCTGTGTAGTGGAATAAGTAAGGTTCAGTTGCTGCGATCGATGACGAATCGAGGTTCTTGGATTTTCGGCCACACTTTCGGCAACAATAGCAATATTGTGTTCCGACCGACCTCTACGAGCACGCCTAGAGGTTTTGGTGTTAACTACGAATCCAGTTTGCTCGAATTTTTGCACCAAATTCCAAACTGTCCTCTCACAAGGCCGATTTTGTGCGCCAAAAAATTAACATAAAACACGAAATGTATGCTTCCTTGATCGGCCGTTTTCATTATAGGCTTGGATAATTTTAACACCTTGTTTGGTCGTATATTGCTTCATGACTGTTTTGTTTATATTTTCACGTTAGAAATGGCACGTTGTGGTTGACAAATTTAGTGGCGTTTCAAAAAAAAAAAATGTATTTGTAATGTGGAAACTCAATTTTAATCACCCATTACATAATTAGTAAGTTTGTTTTTTTAGGGGAATGGATTTGCAAAATGCAGAAGAGGTCTAGAGTATTATTTAATATTTTTCTAGCAAATTGAACATCTAGAACGAATTTTCTTTATAAACCCAATTATAGTAAAGCGTTCGTTCAAATTTTGCTAAAATGACCAATGAAGAATTTTCAATCATACACTGATGATATGTATCAGATTAATGCTTGAAAATATGTTGCTTGATATATTTCCTAAATATTTAGGAAAATTATTAGATTTTCATCAAAATTTAAAACTGATATTTAAAAATCTTTCCTCATATATTTTCTAAATATGTATTTGGAAAAATATATAAATTATTATACTACAAATATCTATAATGAATACTGTATCAAAATATGAAACATTTATTTATTAAATATTAAAAAATTTGTCGCTACAAATATTTAGCACACATATTTTAAAAATATTTATTGAATATTTCATTCTAACAGGTGTAACGGTTTCACCGTCCGATCGTATTTATTAAATCACTTCTCGATTATCATTTCATTAATCCCATCTCCTGATCTGCGATCTTCCTCGCGCTTTTTTTTCACTTGAGCCGCCGATCGGACAACGGCTAGAAATTTCTTCTCTGTAGCACAAGGTTATATAGCACCATGTGCTAGAATTTTCTAGAATGTGTGTCCGTATAGGACAAAAATGATTGGGGCCACCCCCTTTCTCTTTCCCTTTCACTTTGCCTAGCCTTGGCCAATATTTTCACCCATGCATGTGCCTTGGCAGCGCCATCGCCTTTAACTTCGCCTACAACTGGTTATGAAGCCACTATCTGGAGGTCACCCCTCATAACTGGGACCTCCCCTTCAAGCCCCTGGCCATCCTGGCTTCAGTCGAGTAAAAATGGACCAGCGAAAGATAAGTTGATAGCGTTATAGCAGCGCCAAAGATGTAAAACTTATTTTGTTATTTTTGTAAAATTGTAATGTAATGAAAATGCTTTTTTTATTAAATAAAATCTGTTAAATTTTTGTGTTCTGTTTGTTCTTCTATCCTCTAGCCATGCCATGGTCGACACACAGCTACACGCCTGTAGATGTCTTCATGCCACCGACTGAGCTACCGGAAGCTAATGGTAACCCCCTTTCTGTGATTGTGCAGAAAAGTTGGAATCTTCATTGCATTCCATCTTTTCTGGACTTTTTGCGGAAAGGAAGCGTTACACAGGGAATTTCAAAAAACCGATAAACAGTCAACTTGATGACCAAGTAGGCTAGTGTGCTTAAAGTGAACGACAGCTAGTTCCAAACTAAGGTATTGATGGAAAATCTACATGTCATAAAATACCTAAATAATATAAAAAAAAACGGCATAATGTTAACTTTCAAGTTACGTAATACACCTGCCGGTCTGTCAGTAGAAGTAGAGTCGTCGATTGGTACGCGAGTCGGTCGGAACAAAATAAACGGATTCTTTGAATAGGCCCGACAATAGAACGGATGTTATTTGGTTGGTTTTTGGGTAGTTAGGCCGTCGTAAAATATTTTTATTTGACGTTCCGCCAACACGAGTGGTTGGCATCTTCAGAAGGTGTTCATAGTTCGGAGTCCTGCGAGCTACTGAACGGATTCAGGAGAAACGAATTCTGTAATGGCCAACACAATCACCGAATATGGATATGTTAACGCGTTGCCTTGCGATTTCGTTTTTAATGTCGCATTCACATATTGGGCCAAAATAGTCCACAACAATGTGTGAACGCTAATTTAATGGGCTCTCTCACAGCGGTTGGCTTCAATGTGTGAATCCGACATAACCGTGTAAAACTAACCACTGTAAACAATTTCAGGACTTATCACTTTATTCAATTACACCAAGACAAAACACACGACCGCGCTGGTATTGATCAGTGCAGGACAAGAAGATAAAAGAGCGTGAGGATTGCGTAAATACCATTTTAATACATTGTAATGTATTGTGCTTCGATTCTATTCAGCCTGGCCACCCTGCACGGCACCCGTTTGACTCAATTTGGTTGAGGATATGTAGGAAATACCTACTTGATATTCTCCAGCTCAACTATTAGACCATAAGCTTGTTACTTTCAGGTTTTTTCTTATGGTTTGTTATTGGATCTCAAATGCCATTTCAATGCCAAACTGTTGTGTCATATTATTTTCTCACGAGCAACATGGTTCCCTGTACCTAGATATCTTAGTACTTTTTCTTGCATTTCAGATCCATAAACAATGCCTGTGCAGCATTTGTACTCAAAGATTGCATAACAATTACAGTGTGTCGTGGCAACAGTTTTGGGTAGGTTTTCACATTTTCATAGGACTCTTAGCGTTTTTGGGATGATGGACTAAAATAATGACATAACCTCATGCTCCAGGTGGTCCTGGGCTTTGCTTGTTTTAGGCAGTGCCATTTCAAAATTGCAAATTATGGTTCCACACAATCATGTTACGGGACTGTTCAGACTGTAAAAGGTAAAAACCAGATGAACTGTACTTCAAGAAGGCCACCATGGTGGCTGTAATTCAAACGTCTGTAAACTGAATCCAAATTCAAGATGAGATGTAAATAATAACAGTTAGCGCGTGATATCTCGGTAACAGGTGGGGACAACGCCTCTTATTGGTCAATTCACCATTAAATTTCAAGCGGTCGCCTGACGGAATAATGCGCGGGGCAGGGGCAGGGCAGGCAGAGTTGCATTCAGGCCACCGACCGTCGCGTGTATCACTGCATGCTGCTGTTTTCGTATTCACCTTGCTTGGTTGCTGTTAAGTGTATTTGAGTAATTTGTTAAGTTTCTGTTTGTTATTGTTATTCCTCGTTATTATTTGTTTTGAACCAATCCTGAACATGTCCAGTACAAATACTGCTGACGAGGCTGTAGGCTACTCCCTTAGCCCTCCTAGAAAGCGATAAAAAAAGACGTCTTAGCGTAGACATGAAAGACGTCATATTGAATACATTCAAGATAGAGCGGGAGGAAGACGAAGCATCAACTAACCCGAAAATAGCTCTGAAAGTGGCAGATAAAATTGGGGTTTGCCAAGCGACAGTGTACAGTGTTTTGAACGAACATAAGAAAAAGCATGCCTGTTCTAAGCCAATGACGGGTAAAAATCGCAAAAGTATCGTAAGATCGTTGGGTGACGCTTACAAGCACGCGATTCGGAGGAAAGTGCACGAGTTCTTCTTCAGAAACGAAATACCGACAGTTGATAAAGTACTACGGGATTTTAACGAGGATGTTAAGTTACCAAATTTCAACGTTCGACTATTCATAAACTTTTGAAGCATCTTAATTTCGAACGGAAGAAACGAGGTCGTAACAGCTTACTTATGGATAGAGAAGAAATTGTTCTGTGGAGGAGAGAGTACCTAACCAAAATTAAATCAATCAGGGATCAGCACAGGAAGATCTATTACCTGGACGAAACCTGAATTAACACTGGGCACACTACTCCGAAGGTATGGGTTGACAAAAATGTGACTTCATCCAGAAGGGCATTTCTAGATGGACTGTCGACCGGATTGAAAAATCCAGCAGGTAAATAGATCGAAGTAGTTCACGGTATCAATTTTTGGGCACAATATCTCTCTATCTTCGTACCTACAAGACATGCATGTGTACTTAGCGGATTTTATCTTTCTAGGCAAAGGAAAAAGGCTCATTATTTGCCACAATGGGGGTGTAGATGGCTTCGTGGATGACGGCTTGTGGTCTTTTGAGTTAAAAAAAAACCACTGACTACCACGAAGAGATGAATGGGGAAGCATTCGAGAAGTGGTTTTCAGGAATTTTACCACGTCTCGAAGACAATTCTGTGGTTGTTTTGGATAATGCTCCCTATCATTCTCGCAAAATAGAAAAAATCCCAACTTCAGCTTCTAGGAAATCAGACATTCAGAGCTGGCTCCGTCCAAAAATATAACTTTCGACCCTTCCTTACTGAAATTACAACTATTAGATATTGTGAAACAACACAGATAAATATGTTATAGATGAAATGGCCAAAGCACACCACAAAACAGTACTCCGTTTGCCGCCTTACCACTGTGAGCTCAAACGGGCAGATGTTAGGAATTTTGTTGCTGCACACAATACATTTAAATTTTCTGACATGCAAGAGCTGTTCAGAATTGCTATACAGAGGGTCACACCAGAAAGATGGCAAAAATGTGTGCAGCATGTTCAGGAGAAAGTGGAGGTAGCAATGTGGGAGCTGGACAACATAATTGAGAGAGATTTTGAATCCATCATCATAAACATTAATGACGATAGCTCTTCAAGTGAGTCTGAGTAAGTTTCGCGTTTTTATTTTGTCACAAAATACATATTATGGGAATCCTAGTTATAGTGAAATATTAACTTACAGATAAACTACAGACAATGCAAGTCCGAAGTGCACCTTCAAAATCTATTTTCAATTGATTGAACAGCCTTATATTTATTCCATGTACGAAAGTGTCATCTCTACCCCTCGTTGACTACGGATTCATTGTGCATAGTGAGCAGCTGGTTACCTCTGGTATGTATTTCTCCATGTTGTCTAGTTTGAAAAATCTGTAGAAAAACTTAGTACCCCTTCAAGAATAAAAATTTGATTTTGCGACACCCTTAACTATAACTACTTCACTATATTAGATAATTTCGTTAAATACTGTCATCTTTGTTTTACGTTGGTGGTAGTCCATCATTCGGAGGTAGCCCTGAATGCCGTCCTTGCTTTTGGCAATCACGCATCCATTCTATCTTGGGTGTAAATACACTACAGTTTCATTCTCATTGATTAGCGCAGGCTAAGGAGATAATAGAAGAGCGTGAGGATTGCGTAAATACCATTTTAAAACATTGTAATATAATGTGCTTCGATACGATTCAGCCTATCTGGACACCCTGCACGAGTGCACGACACCCGTTTCCGACACCTCGAAGTATAACTGCGGCCTTACATTATCCATTATAGGTGTATAGGTTGTATTCACAACTTATCCGACAAATTTTAACCACATGCACTGTTACAAAAAAGTTGATTCTCAAAAAAAAAATGTAATAAAAGTCCTACAGAAATCGAGATAATAAAATGATACAGTTTAAGGCGGCTCCGACGCAGTGAGTTTCACGCCATTTACAAGGGTTTAGCTGTTTCGGAACTGACGCTCCATTTTTCTATATATTTGAATAAAATTTGTACAGTATGTTCAGAAGACAATCGCCCAGGGTGCTATAGAGCAACTTTTCTAAAAAAAAAAATGTTCAAGAGTTATGGTGGGTGGAAGCGCAGATAATTGTTGTTCGACTTCTCGATTTTGTTAAAAATAACCCAGAGGAAAAAACGAAAAAGTGGCTCTATATCACCCTGTGGAGTCTTGTTTTTAGTGCACTGTGAAAATTTCATTGAAAAATATTTAAAAAGCGTCAATTTTGAAGCGCGATAACCTCTGCAAATAGGCTTTTACACAAATTTTATCCACTATCTCGTGCTGCCAGTCGAAGCAACGTGGCGGTGTGCACGGACTAAGAAAGTACGTATTCAAATAATTTGTTGTCCCAAGTTAAACAGTAGCAGTTTTGACGTCGGTCGTTCGAGATAAACATCGGACCAGTAAGTGACTTAATAGACTTCAATGAAAGAGGGGAAATTATTAATCGATTTTGGTCATTTCTTTTTATACAATAGACCATGCTTCACACAATTTTTTTGGAGATTGATTCAGCGCTTTTGAAAAATCATAAAAAAATGATTTTTGTTCAATCACCCCAATTTGGATATCAAGTGGAAGCACTTGTACAATACAGTAATACGATAACAGTTTCAGATCAAAATGGCGGATAACATAGCTTAGCAAAGTCTTGCTAATATGTTAAATAAGAGTCGTCGCCTTGTAGAATACAGTACTTCACTAAAAATTTGATTCCAAGATTGCCGCCGTTTCGAAATTGCCAGTTACATATTTTTGTACAAAACCCCCAATTTACATATCAAATGAAAAGTCTTGACATGACATACAGAACTTTGTGACCAAAATTTTCCAGGTGGTTCTAGGGTCATAGGAGTCGGTAATCTTTTTAGTTAAAAATAATAATTATAGTGAACGCATTTAACACAAATAAAATGTCACTTGCTGTTTAGCTTTAACCTTATGAAGTATCGTAAAATAAACTTAACACGATAAGCGCCATGAGATATATGCGTGTGTCGCACCTCATTTGGCACTTTGGGCCTCGTGACACACATGATATGTCTCACTGCTGGCAGTTATATTTGGCCGCGTAACGTAAGACGTGTGCCATGCTGATGTGATTTTCTTACGGGAACCAAGAGTACGTGGCCTGAGGGACCAGACCTTGATGTTGGTCCATGAATTCTGACTTTTTTATGCTGTTTTTATGGAATTTCAAGATGGAAATGAAACAGCCCTATTAGTATGCAAAATTATACTCAATTGGAAATGAAAACATTAAAAAACACGTTGTTTATAGAGTTTTACAAAAAGGGGATAGATATTCTACAAATTTAAAACAAAAAGTAAATCTTATAAAATAATCAGACATTCTCATTCAAAAATGAGCAAAGTAATTTCACAGCAAATCAGTAAATTATGGTCGAAATTCTAACGAACACAAATATGGAGGAACTCTTATAAACTAAACAGATTGACAAACTCTTATGCAGGAATAAACAAATTAACGGTATAACTAAATAGTAATACAGATAAATATCGAATTACTACACCTACTATCTGATTCACTACCACTTGGAGAATACGCATCAGATTTGAAGATCCATACCATCTGTCTCTGTTAGAGAATGCATATGCGAAACCATGCTGTCATTTTTAAGCTACAAAAACATATAAAATGTAATTATAATAGTAACTACGTATAGTCTAATTTATTGGCAAAATGAATGCTAAAATTCATAATTTTTTTGGAACCTACCTTTCTATCTGGAAAACGTCTTTTTTTCCTGTGCGTATTTAAATGCGGCTTCTTCGAGACGAAACGTTTATTTCTCTTATTGTTCATTTTTGATACCTTGGTAAGAAGCACACTCAACAATAACAACACGATAATACAACAAAACAATAAAGGTAATAAAGGCTGGGTATACTATGCGCCAAAATAGGGAGATAGTCGTACGCTAGATCGTATATCCAAATCAAATCCGACTCTGTGCTATCTGCAAATTCAACCAGGCACGCGAACAGCACACGTCTGCATATTTCTACCCTTTTCTAACGTAGAGCGCTTGCCTTGTCACAACGCCGTCCTACTAGCGTTTCCCTATCATCTCCCCGATACCCCTCAGAACTCTGCTTGACTGTGAGAGCGCCGTTAACAATGAACTAAATGTTTAGTGATGTGGTATGTGCCTATTCGGAAATCGGTGAGCATACAAACGAGAAGCTGCTCGCCAATTTTGCCCTGCTTCTCCGTACGCTAAAACAATGTCCACTAACTCCTCATTAGTGGACACATGTACCATTTTTATTAAATAACTAAAAACTATAAACTCACAAAATACTTTCTGATTTAACTTCACAAAAATCGACCGTTCTTCATTCAGATCGTTCACGATACAGATTAAACCTTATTTACACGTTCTTATCAGTATGAAAAAACAAAAAATTCCTGGTCTTTTGTTCTCGTCAGTTGTTTGGTACAAAATTTGCTACAATTATTAATACTTGTTCTAATATCCCGGCGATAAACGCAAAATACAGATATTTATTTTCCAATTTGTTATCCAACCTCAGGTTTATAACTTAATTTCTGTAGGACTTTTAACACTTTTTTTTTGAGAAATCAACTTCTTTCGTAACCGTGCATGTGGTTAAAATTTGTTGCATATTTTATCGTATCTTGACTCGTTTAGCCATAATTTTAGAAGGATGACAAATTCCACATTTTAGCTTTAATAACATTTATTTAAAGAATAAAACGTCTACATACAAGTTCCAGCCCGAGTAAATTTACACTTCACTATAGATTTGCACATAAAAGTAAAATAGCTCAAAAATCATAATTATTATTGAATAATCAAAGAACATAACGTGTTTTTCATTATCATATACATTACCCCATCCCTCATCAGAACTACATCATTACTCGTCTCACTCGTGAACCATCTGCACAAACTCAAAGATGAGATGAGATAGTTTGGAAGTATACAGCACTACAATCTCAATACTGAATGAAGTAAGATTAGCTATGCAAATGCCAATTTAAAATTAATTATTTAGATTTTGTACAAAATTTTGAGGTATCATCAGGTGAGAAGTGAATAATAAATCATCATAAAAATTAGATTCCTATTTTGAAAGGTCCATTATTCACCCCAAAAAATAACTACTTGAATATGACACGTGTAACTATTTACAAATGTGATTAAAGACGAATACTGATTGTAGATGTGGTGATACTGCATCATTCAAAGTCTTGCAAAAAAAAACAAAGTCCAATCATTATATAAGGCATACAGTATTTTATGTTATGAACACTGTATACAAATTAAGTACCAAATGTGATATGATACTTCAACTATTTATTACAGTTATATAATGATTGGTTGTAATTGTAGAATTTCAAACAATTATTCACTGTATATAACCTGCTGTGACCAAAATGTCAACACTGCATTTACAGAATAAATTAAAAACGCATATCCTCAAAGAACACAACAAAATGAGTAACATTAACGCAAAAATTGATCCTAATTATCTACAACACGCTACTCGTGCGTCAAAAAAATATACGTCATCAAAGTACATAATATACAGTACTGCAGGGTTTATGCTGTCACCAGCTGGTGGCCTCACAGTTTGGGATCGGATCATCAAACTAGACATTTGCAAAACTGTCGATAGCGGAAAAAACAATAATTTGAGGTGTACAACCCAGATTTCAACACACTTTTCTTGGTTTGTGAATTTTTTTTTGATGAATTGGAAAACATTACAAATTACAAATACATATTCTAAATTCGGAAAACAACTCTCAACATGAATATCATTACAAACCGTAAATAATTAAAAAAAATGTTTGCAATGTAGTACTTAAAAAATGCTTTTCTCTTGTGCTATCCCAAACCACGAGGTTTAATACAGTTCAGATAGAATTATTGCGGCAATTTACCTTTCACGAGAGATGAGGTAATACGGTAGCAACACTAAGAGGTTCGGAAAATTTTGTAGAAATAACATAGCTTTTGTTAACCCGTAATAATTCTGTTTAAAAATTTGTTTTATGCTGCATACACCATATTCAAGTTGATGGGTCGTCATAAAAGAAGAACATGCTCGTTTTGTAGAAACTGTTGCAAATCATACTTCAAACTAAAACTATGTTAATATCCATTCTGCAAAATACCTACATAGAAATACATGAGGCGTTTTCCAAATTATCTCTTAGTGTCGCCTAAGGGGTTACTGGACATCCTGCATTCAATCAGATATAATGCAAGCGTCCGGCCATTGACCAAAATTGAAGAGGTGAGAAATCATCTAGGAGTGGCAAAGATAAAAAACAACAGCTAAGTCTCAAATATGACAAGTTCTGTTAATCGGTATTTTTAGGAAAACATTATTCGATGCTGCCACAACAGACGAGGGACAGACTATTTTTCATAACTGGATTGGTCCTTATAACTTTTTAGAGTTATACACAGGATAAGGCGTAATCCAAGATAGAAACCAATGTTTTAAAGCACTCAAAATTTACTACAGAACTGTTGTTGTAATGATATATATTTTTCCATTGAATGTAACGCATCACTTTTAGATAGGATAATTAGATAGCTTAATTCAGAAAAAACAGTTTATATATAATACACAAGCAATATTTTTTTATTACCAGCCTCCTAGTTGTTATATTTATGTACATATCGAAAATGTCAAATATAGAGCTCGTTTTACTTTTAGCAGTGGTTTGTACATATAAACCGGTTTGATATTATTTTCAAAATTGAGTTGTCCATCCCTCATCCTCAGCATCTTTTTAACAACCAAGAAAGTTCAAACAAAGAAAAAATAGGGTAAACAGAAGAGAATCAAAAACAGTCAATCATAATAGAGTAGTAATAATAACCAATAATGATAATAATAATCACCTAATACGCAATTTTACGATGCTTTTTATTTTAAAACGAGAATGAAACTTAAGAGTAACAGTAGTAATAATATATATGTATGTATAGTAAATATAGCAATAGTGTATTGGTGGCATGTGTTTGTGAACTGTAGCGTGTATTGAAAAATCAAAAGTTATTTTTTCGTTGAAAACGCAGGCATGATTCTAAAGCTAAACGTTGAAAATTGTCGCTAAAAACGGTGACGAATATATAAGTTCTTGGCGGAACTTTCAACGGCGCTCCTTTTCAGACTTACTGCAAATGATCCATTAGATCAAAAATCTCTTATAAATCTTTAAAAGAAAATAGTCAAGTGATACCATCAAACTCTATTATAGATTGCAGATGCCTCTGCTGGTGTGATTTTTGTATTGTATGAAAATTTATTTTAAACAAGGCATATTAAAATTTCCAAACTTACAGAGATTCAAATTTGAACGTTGTCAGATGAGTTTATTGTCTTTTGGATATATAAATGCGTGGAATACAACATGTTTCCATGTCGACGGCAGAGTTTGAAAAATTAATCCCTATATAATGGACCACCCACAATCTACCTGAACAGTATGTTAGGCTTCTGCCAAAATCTCAATGTACGTGATTCTTCGACGCTAAGTTCTTAACACACAGTTTTAAAAACATTGCATATCACTTTGAGGCACAAACGTACACACACACACACACAACAATCACCACTCTTCATAAAACTCATGCACACAACTCATATTCTCCACTTTTTTCATCACATATAATATGTATATGTTACCTTTTATTTATGTGTGTGTAGTATGTCCAAGTGAGCAAGTGATACAGTCCCATCATTTCATTGTAACAATAAGGCTGCATTGTATATACACACTAGTCCAGAGAAGGTATCAGGATGAGAATTTTATAAAGTCGGCAGGTTGAACTTCAAAAAATGACTAAAGAAGTTTTGTCCAGTAGCATAAACTATCCGTCAAACTTTGTCGCAGAATTGGGGTGATGGTTTTCTCAATGATTCATTACGTTTCTTTACGTTATAAGCTCATGATTCAAATGTATTTACATCAAGGTCCAAAAATAGAAAAGATGCTGAAATAGGGTTAGTTATTGACACATTACGGCATATATATTTGATTCCAGTTTAAAGCTGGGTTGTTTGGCATACTTTTGATAAATATCTGTTACAAGTAGTAACAGTTTGGTACCAACAAAATTATACTTTACCCTCATCTTTATTATTTCGCACTCATTAATGTGAGGCTAGTGATAACAGAAAATAAAAGCAAGAGGGGGTAAAATTATTCATTTCTTCCTGTACTCAGCTGGGAGAGGGACATGTAGAATCGCTTCTATCACATGTCCAGCAAAATCAGAATAAAAGAATACAGTCATTGAAAACGTATGTCTTATGTGAAATTTCCAAATTATGCTGAAAGTTCCTATCATTGAACTGGATATAAATGTATTTGAATCATGCTGCCAATCAGCAACCCCAGCTTTAGCTATTATCGAACTTTGACATAAACTGACATTCGAACTATTTGGTTAAAAAGAAGTGTCAAGGGCCGTATCGTTCCTACAAATGTAGGACGCCTTTATGGCCTCCTTGATTTTCATATTTCCAGTCCTTTAGGAACGCAGTGGTATTTCTAGATTTCGACTGTTTCGTGTCAGTGCTTTCTTTTGAGGTTATATTTTCTCAATAGGATAGCGCTGACGCTGACTCGGAACAGTAGAAATCTGAGGAACAGAAAAGACAATGGCAATCAAGGAGGCCATAAAGGCGTCCTTCAACTGCTGGAACGACTGATGGTATGGCGCTTAGTCTACAGATTTGATTTCGCGGGGTTTTGTTTTTATATCCGATCCACAATATTTGTATTAGGTGACAGATGATATTTAAATTGCATCAGTTGAGATGCCAATTTCTGTATTGTCCATAGTTCTTTGTTTGGGTTTTACTTAAAACAGCATTCATATGTTGTGTCTAGTTCTTCAATTTGCACCAAGACTTTTCAAAGTTCTTCTTCTAATTTGCAGTTAAACAAATTCGTTCCTTGAAAACCCACTCATTCCAGAAATCCAACCTATTCTAATCCTGATGCCAACTTCGATTACACCGCGTACGCGCATTTGGTGGGGGGGCGTTAAGAAGGGAGAGAAGGTAGGGATGATAATAAGGTGCGCACAGCTGTGAGCAGCGTCCTCTATTTGCACTGCACTGCACCACCTACTGCTATGTTTGCACCGTTGCCGCTTCAGATCTTCTGGATCTTTTCACCGACCACTACCGGGTTATTTCTGCGGATCTCTTGGGCGCCCAGCTCTCTGTAATCGAACTGGCATTGGTGCTTGTCGCTGTACCTATGCACTGCGCAGTATAGGCCGCCGCATCTGCATTCGAAACCTGGCGAGAAAAAGTCAAGTATTCAATATACAATGATACTATGGGTAGACTGAAAACACGTGATGGACACGACTGAAATAATAGCGTTTATTTGCAGAGCAAAAAAAATACAAAGAAAAAAACTTAAAAATTAACAACATGAATTTTCTGCAAAAGGGACTAGTAAACAGACGAACTGATCAAAGTACTAGCCCAACAAACAAAATTACAACAGAGGAGTTCTTAATCAAATTATATAAGTTAATATTAATAATTAATAAATAATAATTACATACGTCAAAAAATATATGTATATAATGAAATTATATAAAAAATATAATTTAACGAAAAATGTCAAATCATTTTAGACAGATTTAACAAAAAAAAAACATTTGAAATATAAAAACGAAAGGGACAATATAAAGTAAACACTGCAATTCATCTAATAGAAATTTTCTGTAACTTCTTTTAAAATGTTTCATGCTGTCAAGTGTCAGTTGAATAAAAGGAAGTGAGAGGTTTTACTCCGCAGAAATCAAGTAAATACTGACTGTAACAGCAGTATAGTTTTTTCACGAGTATCCATCACGATAGGATGATAGTTGATTATTTAGTAATATTTCAAAATTCCCCATATCGATAAATACCACATACTTCTGACGTATCCGTCAAGGCCAGGTAGACACATCCGTATATTGTTTTGGTTTTTTTGTATGGTACAGATCATTTTGTACTTGCTGATAACTGTTTTATTTCGAAGAGTTGACTTGCATACAAAAAAAAAACGCTACAAGCAAGTTTTACTAGTTTTGCACCCAATTCATTACTCTCAACTGTTAGAGACTAAAACAAATGTTACTTGTTGATCAGCTGTACACCTCAGTAGACGTCAGATCGTCTCTGATACTCGTTAAATATGGTATAAATACTCGTGCTTCAAGTAGAGTTAATCATGAACAATCTAAACAAGACGCAATCTCTAAAATACGAGTGTAAAAATGTTGTGCAAATTGGGTATGTCAAAAATGACAGAAGCCAAAATAATATTCTAATGGCATCTTCCCTAATTGAAATATAAAATTTCGCGTCTAAGCTGTGACGTAATAATTTTCAACGTTTAGAATACGACCCCATTCTGCCAAGGACGTTAGACCACAGACCGTCAGATATAAGGAAAATAACCATGACAGACATGAAATGTATAGCCAGGTTCTGTAATTGTCTAGGATAAGAATCATATCCTACTGGCAAATTCCACTGGCATGAATTACAGACAATAGAAATTCTCTTAAACACAAAGCGATGATAAAACAAATCAACAAATAATTCTTGAAAATGACTGTATGACTATCTTGTATCTATTTCAACTAATATAAATGAAATTTTCTCTAAATGGAAATTCGGGAATACCCCATTCTCATAGTATATACTTCCTTTCGAAAGGTAGGTTAGATATCACTTATGTTGAATAAGTTGGTTGATTTCCTGGATTAATTATAAGCTAAAATGTTACTGCCAACAGATTCCTGTTGATTCTAGCAGGTAACTAGTCTAGGAGTGTAGACATTACACTTCAGGCTGCAGCATAAAACAAGAACAAATTGTACAAAATTGAGAGGTTTTTGTAGGTGCATGAAAAAAAAAATTGTTATGCTAGCTAGCTAGCCATGCTAAGCTTTTTTAAAATTCCAATTTTTTGAATAAATCACTTTACGAATAGGCGAATATTCGGTCTGGAGAACATTTTTGGAAATAGTAGTGGATATGAAATTGTTTTTTCATTCATTCATTAGCTATTTTATTTAGAGCCCATACTCAAATAGTCTAATCTTACACGAAAATACCCCTGGTTTACGAAATAATTGTAAAGTCTGGATTTATTGTTGCAAGTTGTTCAAAAATGGATAAACCAATTTTTGTGGGGAAACTTTTTATTTGACAACAAAGAATGAAAAAACGTGTTTTTTCATTCATTCAATCGAAAGGCAGGTACGAAAAAAACTCTCCATATAAGATTTTTAGGGATTTATGAGACCTACAAAATGAGACCACACATAAAAACATCCGACTAATAGCAAAAAAGTTATGGCCGAAAACTGAGGCAAACTGCAGGTTTTGGCCCTTGTTGGTAATGCGGCGATGGTTTCTCGGAGATATTTGAAATTCTTCAGATTTGTAGGATTCGTACTTCTAAATAATCGGAACAAAATTGGAGTAGATTGGTCCAGTAGTTTTTGAGAATTTCTAATGTTTTTCCCAAAAAACCTATTTTCCGGCTATCACTACTAGTTTATTGAGCAATATACAGGGATAGTTCAAAGTGCATTTTGTAGAAAAATACACCAGCTTTACATTGCCGATATGAATCGCAAACCATTCCGGAACAACAAATGCAAAAAAGGATGCGTTACGTTTTTTCTTTTAAAGAAATTCAAACATTTCGTATTTGTGAGTAATTCGCAACAAAAGATGTTAGACGCATCCGCTTTGTTTTAAAATGTGTATAGTAAGGTATGTTTTTCGAATATCTTAACGCATTTGTTCAATTACTGAAAAATGCGGAATGTTTGAATTTGTTTAGAAGAAAAACATGTAACCTTTGTTTTTAGCATAAAAATAATATTTAACTTTCGGAATGGGTTGTGATTCATATCGGCAAGGTAAACACGTGTATTTTGCTATTAAATGTTCTTTGAACGAACCCTGTATATTGCTCAATAAACTAGTAGTGATGGCCGGAAAACAGGTGTTTTGGAATAAACAATTAGAAATTCTCAAAAACTGCTTGACCAATCGACTAAAATTTTGTTGTAGTTATTTAGAAGAAGCCTTCCGATTTGAAGAATTTCAAGTAGCCGCGTGAAATTATCGTCGCAAGTGCCGAAACCTGTATTTTGCCCTGGTTTTCCGACCATAACATATTTGTTATTACTTGAATCTTTTTGCGTGTGGTCTCATTTTGTAGGTCTCATAAATACCGAAAAATCTTATATGAAATGTTTTTTCGTTCCTGTCAACACATTCGATTGGATCCCAAAAAACACGTTCTTTGTTGTCAAATAAAGTTTTCTCACAAAAATTGGTGTACCCATTTAATGCGTCCATGTGTTAAATACCACCTTGAAGAACTTGCACCAATAAAACCAGACCTTACAACTATTTCTGAGAAATTTGCTGATTTGCTTTTATGATGAGACTAAAATGATGCTATCCGCATTTAGTTGATTTCAGAGTCTCAGAATAAGTATTACCTCTCCATAAAGGACCTTTCAGTGGTGTTAAGCAAATACTCGCTAGTAAAACCTAGGTGTCCTGGTAAGTGAATGTAACTAATTAATCCTTTTGTTCACTTCAATTTAAATAAATCTGCAATTGAAAGCTCAAGTTTTTTTTATTCATCTGACCCACTGTTGAAATACGATTCATACTGCATTGATTCAGCTGTGTCAAACTGCTCCCAACATCCAAAAAAACTTTGTTAGACCAGGTCTGATATCGTAATAGTACAAAAATTTACCTTAAAGGCAAGAAACAGAGACAAATGAAATTAAGGCAAAAATTGACAATGATACAAAAAAATTGATAATTTCTTATCTTTCAATGTAAATAAGACATTTATTACTTCAAAATACTCCCTTCAATCAATTATTAGCCACTCAACTGTCAAATATTTCCTGTATTATAGGAGCAACCTGTTCCTGTGCCTTATTTGAAAGTAAATTAAGGCACAACATTTATGTATGTAGGGGGGTGGCGGCTTTGGACAACATTCCATTAGCCACAGATGTTTATAATTTGTGCTTAATATCACTACCTTAGCCAATTTTACGAACTCCACTATATTATCCAGAATGAACTTTCTGCTTAAACTTAGCAATGATAACAGTTGAACTGGAAGTGATATCAGATCCTCCAAAATGTATCTTTTTATTAAGTTAGAAACATGGGGCTCTTTTCGATGAGTAATATGGTTTAAATCTGCTACTTTGGTGTTGTCACATACCTTGTGCAATTGTACAACATATGCAATTTTCATACATTTTAGTATTCAGTCAATATAAAAAGCATGTTATTCTTCCGACTACAAAGCATATTTTTTATGTATCTAAAACTGCTGGAAGCATAAATATCGCTCCTACCTGTGAGTCCGACCTTCTTGCGACAGGACGCGCATCGGTTCTTCTTCTTCTTCGCATCCCTGTCATCGTTCTTGTCATCTGACGAAGAGCAGGTGGAGGACGCTGAAGATAAGTTTGTGGAGGCGTTGTCTTGCGATGCGGGCGTGACGTCGACCACGGTAGACGTCGTTTCTTGCTGTTGCTGCTGTTGTTGGTGCTGCTGTTGGTGGTTGGTGATTGCTGCTGCAGCTGCAGCGCATAGCTCGGCAGCCGAAGCGGAGGGGGAGGCAGCTGCGGCCGCGCAAGCTGCAGAGATGGCGGCTGAGGCGGCAGATGAAGCTGAACCGCATTCCTCGCCCATCTGGAAATGAATATGAATGTTAAAACAGGGGTTTTACAGCAGAGCAAAGAGTGCCAGATAATCATAATAGCGGCCATAAATCAATTGTTAGTACCATCATTAGTACCATAGATACTTAGAGAAATTTACAATGCATGTTTTCCTGGAATTTCGAGCATTTAAAACCTCATTAGATATATCTACCAGATGCCAAACATCAGCTTTCTTATAAATATCCCTACAGACACAAGCATTCCTTAAGTATACTAGGATCTTGTAATTAGAGTTTATGTGTTATGGTGCTTGAATTTTTGACTATAAAGAAAAATTTCTCAAGATATGTATTTACATCCTGTATAATATATACATCTGACATCAAAATAGTTTTGTAGACATATAGATAAAATAAGTATGCAGTTGAGTTTACTGAATTTGTTATTTTTTAATTTAAGTTCGTGTAGAGCCAGAAAACTGTTCACTCTAGATCCAGATTTCAAACAATGTTTATAATATTGCTTCAACACTTCCTTATAACAAACTAGAATGTGATATGCGCCTTGAAGTGCGTTTTCAAGATATTTTGATTTTGCTTAAGTCATGTTCATGAATTCGGAAATGAATAGTAAACATGTTATTTCATTATTTCAGTTGCAAAGCCTCCTGCTTTCTTGTTTAGATATTTTATTCGATTTAACAGAACATGCGGTTAGTCTTTTAGTTATGACGTGACGGTTGTGACCTTTATTTTAGTTTGTCTTGTACATTATTTTCCATTTACTTATATAGTGATATTTATCATTTAATACTGGGTTTACTACATGCAGCCACTGCCGCTGCCACTTGCGCTGCCCACGGTCCTGCCGTAAATAAATCCACAGCAGCATTTGGAGCAAGTGACTGTTTACATGCAGCCACCCTTCTAACCTACCATAAACTGCTTCCAAAAAACTTTCCATAACATCAAATGCAAACCAAATGGGCTGACACACCTCATCTGCACCCGCTCCTGCGTCTAATCGAAGCGTTTTTCTTTTTTAATAGCGGCCGAAATGTTGCCATTAGAGATTTTTTTTTGTTACTTAAGCTCTTGTATGTTTTTCAATCCTACCATAATAATCTTTCAGCCGCATATAGCTCTAAAAACTTCGATACTTGATCATTGCTCCACTCAATCATGGTCCAAGTGTATTTTAAAACGAATAATTTGCCTAAAACGGAATAAATTAGGTTAAGATACCCCGCGTCCACGTGGTAAGGACAGGACTGGCTGTGTTGGTACAGCGGGCAGCATGTAAACGGTCGCTGCCGCTCGGGGTGCTGGTCCAAAAAACCACGAACGAAGGGAGCATGCGGCAGCGGCAGGAGCATTGGCAATGCGAGCTGCGTATTTACATACTCGCGCTACCCACTTCCCTGCCCAATTCCCTGGTAACTGCCGTGGAAGTGGGCTGCATGTAAACCCGGTATAAGATTGAAAATGGCAACAAGAAGACTATTTGATGTCTTGTATGAAAAGGGGGTAGATTGTACGAAATATTTTTACAATTACCTGATGGGACACTACAAAATGAAGATGATGAACAAGTCATGTAAAAATTTAAAAAGACTTCTTCAGTGCGGAAGAAAAACGGATAGATTTTAGGAGGGACATAAAGAATGGTTGTATGTTCAATTTGTTCTTGAATACACTCAAAACCAGGAACTTCACTTGGAGAAGAAAGACACTGTGGTCGGATTGCGATAGAATTTTCTGCGATCAGTCAAAGTACAAAACGCCAGAAGACTACAAACTGTCATCGACTTCCGAAACAGAGGGGCTTACTAGACAGTCAAATGAACAAAGCCGGACAAAGGATTTACAGAACAAAAGAAATCATTCCACTCACCGCAGACGAAGCTTTGCCTATTATAATTGAAACAAAGTATACCAAACACTCGTACTTTGTTCATCGATGGACAGCAAAGAAACAATTTGTCGATATCTATCCCTTCGAGAAGCAAACTTACGCTGTTATCCCTGGAGGACAAGGACAAATTTCAGGGGAAAAACCACTCGACAAATATCTAAAATAACACGGAATGAAATGTACTCACCGAATTCCTTATAACTTCCGATCCGGTACTTTTATCTTTGAGGCAATGCAAAGTTATTTCTCATTTCCCTGATGGAGACACCCTTAATAGATTCAGTAGATCCAAATTCTCCAAGAAGGCTACGGTTTGATAGGCCAAGCTGCGAACTTGCTTCGTCCAACGAGGGAGATGACGGAGATTGTCAAGATAGCGATTTCAGTGGTATAGGCTTTTAATTCCAATATTATGAATAATTATCCTAAATTTAGTGATATTTGAAATAATTGATTTGTGCCTGCATATGTAATAACTTTTGACATACATATTTGATATTGGAAAATGGTCAAAAATCTACTCGATGCCCCTAAAAGTCACCCCTAACAGACTTATGTTTTTTACTTATTTTTTCTATAAAGAGATTCTTAATTTAAAGCCATTTAGCCCATGACCAGATTTATGACTGCTTTTCGGATTTTCTGGTCCACTGTGCACTATTATTTCGTTGTGATTATTCGCTATCATCTGAACTTAAGTTCTATATACGTCACTATAGAAGTTGCAAGACATTTATAAACATTTTCCTTTGATAAAAATGATCTACCTTTAAAGTTTCTTAGTGCAAACTTTACATGTTTGTTGCCTATGAACCAAAGTTATCACGCTGTTGAAATTTAAGAGCATGATGTAGAGTACGACCATCAAGTATCGCGAGGCCCTATTTAGATTAGAAAAACGTCTTTTCCAACTTCACATCGATTTCAATGAATAATTAACATCAGATTAGTAGTCTTACTCCACGCACCCGATTAACCCAAAAAACGCTTTATTATCGAGATTGGGGGTAAACAAAACATTTCCTTAAAAGCATGCTTTAAGCTTTACAGTTTCTCAAGACAAAATCTCCATTTTCGTTACTCGATATTACAGGCGATCGAAAGTCAGTACACTAGGGTAATTTGGGACGGTGATTGCAAATATTGCCATCTAGTGCTCCGTGTCAGCGCTCTATATTGAGGTTATGTTACAAATATCTAGCATGAAATTGTTCATGCTTTTGTTTTATCACCTGTTATATCAGCCCGAAATTTCCTACAATTCAAAAAGAAAGCATAGCCTCACAATATAGGAGAGCGCTGACGCTGACACGGAACAGTGGAAATATAGGAACTCACCAGCCTTTCTGAAGGAGAGAAAAGAGTGTGAAAATCAAGCAAGCCGTAAAGGCGTCTTACAATTGTAGGAACGACTGACGATACGGCCCTAAATCAAAATTCAAAGATTTGTCCACAATGGTTCCGAAACAAAATGTGGATATATTTCAAGACATTACATCAAAATAATATTGGAGAAAACACTTACATTTTGTGTGGGTGACGGCAGGTGACTGATTGTGGGCTGTGCAGTGGATGTGTCTCTGTAGGAGCTCAGTGAGCTGGGTGTGTTGTTCGGCAGCTGTTGTTTCTTCTTTAGATTCTCCTGCAATAACACAATTAACATTTCATCAGAAATGTTCTTCATGCAACGAAAAACGAGAGAAATTGCCATATCCAAAGCGTTTGCAATAATAAACACTATCTGCTGTTAGAACAAAACTACTCAACGTACAAGTCAACAGGTAGGTCAGCGGTTGCCATTTAGGAAAATCCTATGCGATTTGGCGTTAAATAATAAAATAAGAAATAGAAAAGAATAGGGTGGCTGACGGTGGGACGAAGCGCGGTGTTGCCAACATTACTTTGTTCCATGATGGAGCACTGATGTGGTGTAAGCCATGATTGTCGTATCTGTGAATATTTTTTCTATTTAGGCCTGATATAGAATCTCAAAAAATTTAACATTTGTTTATGTATGAAATATACCCATGTAAAAGCAATGGACAAGTTTCTGTAAAAATCTGTTAAAAACATAACAATAATGTGGATGTGTGCGCGCGCGAGTGTTCATGTGAAAAACTATTACTTTTTTGTTAAGGTGAGTTTTTCCACAGCACTTTGTTATATATATATATATATATATATATATATATATAAAGAGTAAATTATCATGCGGAGAAAGGTATATAACAAAAATAGGAAAATAATGGGCAAAATCCGCAAAAAGTGGATTTGAGCAGAATAGGATAGGTAACCCGAGCGATACGTATTTCTGCTGGTTGGCTTCATCAGGCCCGAAATGAATGCACATATGCAACTACAAAAGTAGAGACACATGCCCATACATCCGGATACGGGTGTAACCTGAGGAAACAAAGATGGAGAGGGAAAAAAATTACACACGAAGTCCACAACAAGAGCCAACCTACACATTGCAGTATTAAATGGCTAGAAGACCTAGCATTTTCAAGGCGACAAATAACCGGCCGCGTGGTTGTGGTTATTTGTCGCCTTGAAAATTCTAGGTCTTCTAGCCATTTAATACTACAATGTGTAGGTTGGCTCTTGTTGTGGACTTCGTGTGTCTTTTTTTTTCCTCTCAATCTTTGTTTCCTCAGGTTACACCCGTATCCGGATGTATGGGCATGTGTCTCTACTTTTGTAGTTGCATATGTGCATTCATTTCGGGCCTGATGAAGCCAACCAGCAGAAATACGTATCGCTCGGGTTACCTATCATATTCTGCTCAAATCCACTTTTTGCGGATTTTGCCCATTATTTTCCTAATATATACATATATCTGCTTCTTTGAAACATTCATAGTAGAACATTTTTTAAAATTGTTGTGGTAACATTGTAGAAAGACTGTCAAAGCTACCTTCAGTTGTTTATCTTTCGTGATGTAACTTTGAAAAGTCTCTGTTCCGTTATTCATAATGGTCTGTGGATATATGGCCTGAAATGAGCAGTTTTTTGTGTGAAAAATAGTGCTTGCACTACAAAAAATTTTATTGTAAATTACATAATCGACACTTCTACATAGGTAGAAAATGCCAATCACCATATTTGGTGGAGGCATCACTTTTACCGGCACGTGTTTAATGCGAATAGTTCCATCCATGCGGTGCGGTGCTGTCGAAGTGTGGACGCGTAACTTTAGGGCAAAAAATAAATGAGATAAATGACAACTTATTCGAGAATAACCCGTGGAGAGTTTAGAAAACATGAATTTCACGAATGAAATCATTACCTTAAAGCATAATGAGCAAAGTCCATCAGTAGCTGGTGATCCATAAAATCCGCAGCCGGAGCGGCAAAGGGCCTGCATCGAATTTGATTCCCGCTCCATGGTGAAAGAGGGGGCGGTACCGAAACTCCGATCCACCTCACCTCACCGTGCTAATTGCACCAGCAGGATTGCTCCTAAAGCTGCAAAAAGAATAATATGGTTATGCTAACTGAACATTTTCCCTTCATTTTTTGCCGGATTAGTTTGACAAGTTTGATGTGCGCTTATCTATTATAATATTGCCACCATACGAAAAAATATTTGAAACAGAGACATTTACATGGTGTTCCTTTTAAAAAATACACAATATTTTCCATTTTCAAGGTGATAACGTCAACTCAAACAATTTCGTGACAACAACAAAAAAGAGTGCTGTATCCATAAAGCTCATCCATGCATACTGTAAAATAGTACATAAAAAAATGAAGATGTGACCAGAACTACTTCCTGCAATATTATGTGCATACAGTGTGTTCCCGAAGTCAACGTCAAGCCGGTAACGGGGGATGTGCCAAGTCATAACAGTTATCAGAAAAATATAAAAAAGTCGTGTACTTTTCAAATTATAGGTTTCAAAAAAAATCTGAAAAATTTACACCCTGTGATGATCTTTTAGTTCCCATCACAACAAATTTCCTTTTTTGTTAGATAGAGTGACAGACAGTGTCATTCTACGTAGTCTCAGCAAGACAGATAGTAACGCCACTTTTATTAATTCATGACTGTGTGCCACTATGTATGTGCAGACCATATATATTTTCCCAAAAACCAGGGCTAGAAATCAAAATATTTAATATATCAGGAAACGTGATTATTTCTCGTTTAAAATATGGAAATATAAAACAGTTTGATTCTAGCAATATTGATAAATAATTATTCAACTTTAGTTATATTGTTGTAGCATCTATATCTTCATCATACCCAACTTTGAAATTGTCCGAACAGCTGACGACGCGAGAAAAGTAATCAAAGACAAAAAGTATTTTGTACTATATGATAACAGCTGCCAAGTCTAACCAAATGAACAGTAGCTTTGATGTTTGCCAGCTGGCAGAGAAATAGTCATTTTTTCGAAACAGGAAGCCCAATGCCATTTTGGTGAAGTTAAAAATCTTTGCACTAAAATAGACTTATTTAAACATAATAATTACATCATAACACTACTGAACTCACTTTAAAATTTTATTATCCCATATCACATAGTTTTATACTATAGTACTGTGACCGCATAAAATGTTTTTTTTAATGTTACCTGATACTGTCACTGTCTTCAGTCGGTCCAGTAATCTTTGGTTACTAGAACTCGGGAACACTGGATTTTTACGAAATTTTCACATAAGTTTACCTACCTCCCTTCCCTAAAGTGAACATTTTTTGAAACTAGTCATACGGTTCAAGTATTACGTAAACACTACATTAAAGTGAGGCTGGGAGATATTTACTTCTTTTATTTTCCATCACCTGGAGCCCGGGTAGTTTTGATGGTGGATATGTAAGCAATATTTTTCTATTAGATATGTTTTTTAAACTTGGTAGGTTCTAATTTGAACAAATATAGTAACCCTACTTGTCTATTATGCTCGACAGCGTGGCGCGACTACAGGGGTGGTTAAGCCATTAGAAAAAAAGTAGAACTATGCCAGAAATTTTCTCAAAAAGGTATGAAAGAATCTCCTCTCTTTCAATTATATTAACTGTTACGTAATCATAGAGGGGGAGAGATTTGCTGCTTACTTTCAGTCACAAAGGAACAGTTTGACTATTTTTGAAAATTCTGCCTAAATTAATACTTGAATGAGCCCTAATCTTTCTCACTAATGACCCTTAGGATTTTCCAAACAATTTCCATGTATTAGGGAATAAGTAATAGTCGCTGGGGGCCAGGTCTGGTGAATACGGTGGCTGAGGAACCAATTCGAAGCCGATTTCGTGCAATTTTGCTTGTGCAACTAAGCATGAATGAACAGGCGCATTGTCGTGATGATAAAGCGGTTTTTTCTTCTTCAAATGCGGTCGTTTTTCGGCGATTTCGATTTTCAATCGGTCCAATAATGATGAATAATATGCTCCGGTTATGGTTTTACCTTTTCCAAGATAGTCCACGAATATTATGCCATGAGCATCCCAAAATACGGAGGCCATAACCTTTCCGGCCCATTGTTGCGTTTTTGGACGCTTCGGAGCACTTCGGCCCGGTGGAACCCACTGTTTTGCCTGTTGCGTTGACTCAGGAGTGTAGTAATGGATCCAGGTTTCATCCATGGTTACAAATCGTCGCAAAAACTCGGTCGGCTTACGCGAAAATAATGCCAAATTCTGCTGGGAAGTCGTCACACGAATTCGTTTTTGGTCCACTGTGAGCAAACGCGGCACCCATCGCGCGCAGAGCTTCTTCATGCCCAAAACTGAATGGACGATATTGCCTACGCGTTCCAATGACATGCCTACAGCATTAGCTACCTCTCTCAATTTCACTTTGGGATCATTCAACATCATATCATGGATTTTTTCGACGTTTTCTGGTGTAGTGACCTCTTTTGGGCGCCCAGATCGTTCAGCATCAACTGTGCTTGTACGGCCACAACGAAACTCCGTAAACCACTTATGAATCGTTCCAATCGACGGTGCAGAGTCCGGGTAATACTTATCCAGCTTGGCCTTGGTCTCGGATATCGTTTTCTTGCGTAGATAGTAGTGTTTGATCAAAACTCGAAACTCGGATTTTTCCATATTAAAAAAAACTCTGAGGTTAGTCGCTTCTCAGTGCTGTAACTTGTAAATGTGTAAACATGAATGGCTGAAGTTTTGACAGGTGTCATTTGAAGGATCAGGCTCGACAAAAATGGTTCGCATTAGTGAATACTAATGCCATCTCTTAGAATTTTCAGGTACTTATCAGACTGCCTAGTACCTAAAGTTTTAAGCCGATTCATATCAATGCAGAAGAAGTATTAAGTGAATCGACTTGACTCCATTTTTGGTGTTAATGCTCATTAACAATATGTTGAAGATTTTGTATAATAAAAGTGTTCATAAAGATGAAGCAAGTATGCAACAAATCTGCTTACCGCAAACCGCAGGAACAAGGGACATGCTCGAAAAATCACTAAATAAATATGTAAGACACAATTAAAAGAATTAACAAAGAAAGTTATGAGGTTAGCACGTGCCGGGATTTTTATGTAACCAAAGTATCGCAGTTTATAATGTGGAATTATTTATGGTGTGAAGTATGATCTAAACCAGTATTCAAACAGCATAAATAATTATAACAACAACCTTGGTAGGCTAATTGTTTTCAAACTTGATTTTGAGTGGGTGCCACATTGATGGGTTTCCAAGGCTCCCAAAAAAATGCTGCACTCGAATCTTCATAATTACATTACCAATTTTTTGTTATATGTTCAATCAAGAATACTTCTTTTTCGTTGTAAAGAGGATGGAAACAGATCCTGGTAACTCTGATTAAGCAAATAAATACACAAAGCAAACGCATACGCTAACCTGTAACACGTAAAGGTAAATTACAGTTTTAAGAAAAAACATTCACAATGTTGAACTGAAGCTAGAGAACAAAATAAAACATCAACGAAAACGCAGAAAGCTAAGTTTTTGCATAAAAAAAGGTGACGTGTCGAAATGTTACTAGACGATAGTTTTGTCAGCAACCTTAGGTTGCTTCTATTTAGAGTTGCTCCCACACCATATGAAATTACTGACTTTTGATTAATGTTTCGATCCCCTCTCCTGCCCCTTACACGCCAATCCTAAATACTTCTGTACTGCACGATACTGTCCATTATCAACTTTAAACATTAAATACTGGAATGAGTTATGTTCCTAATGAATCGTGATTATTCTACAAAGAACGGCGATTTCCAGTTCAATTTAAAGCTAAGAAAATTCCAACCGCAAAAATATCACTAAATAACTACGTTTAGTCTGTGTAATCAAGATAAGTTATTGCTTGTTATCAGAACGGTTTATATAGACTGTCTTAAGGACCTATGTATGACATCGCCTTTTGTGTCAGAGTAGTAGTAGTCCATAACGTTTTCGATCGCGCTCGATCGATCGGTTTTTCAGCCACATGTCCGTGTCTACCAGGTCTGGTAACCCAGAAACAACCACAAAACAAGTTTCAGATGTTACATTAATCTATTTGTTGTTTCGTGAAACTGAAAATAGAATATTTCCCACCCTACAGGCAGCAGCGGTGGCCGCAGTAGTAGACTCTTCGGTCTCCTGATCAGTCGCTGTGCGCTGTGCGGGTTCGAGTCCCGGCCCAGGAGAAATTTTTCTCTTGGCTATGGATGTTGTGATTGTCCGTAGGTGGTAGACGGTCTCTGACTGTGGAACGCGGAGGTACCACCCGGAGGAGCTCGTAGGCGGAGCCAGAATGTGTGCATGTTGCATGCACACGTGTTCCCTCGCCAGAGTCCGCGTGGCGTTCCCCCTTTCCCATGTATCCCCCTATAGCCCCACGGTACCCAATGGGTGCTTAGGCCTTAGGCCTTCGTGGTAGTTGGAGTATTATAAAAATAACGCTAGACTGATCTCATAAAACTATCACATTTCGTCCTATTTCGCCATCAAATGCTTTTCCAAATGTCATCTGTTTCATTATTACTAATCCTTTCACAATCATAATTCTGAAAGGCACATCTGCTACATGGTAAAACGCTATGCATGTATATAATCGGAGTAACAATACATGCAGTAGAACATAGATCTTATTTTGTTAAGCAAAACAGATTTGCAAATGCAAACAGGACCAGGTCGTAGGATTTTTGCCGATGGAATGGAAACCATCAAGAAGTTTGAGTCCCGCAATTTTTGTTATTATTTCCAAGAATTAACTATAGTGGAGCATGCATCAGTGCTTTGCGTTTTGGAAGGCTCCTAACAGTTAAAATCAATTTCCAAAATCGCCTTGCTGTCACGCCTGCCATGATAATTCCGATAATATGTCCTGAATGTGCGTCTATTTAATCATGATGGGACATATGTATGGCGATAGCGAAATGAATTTCAACAGTTGAAATTCAGTTAGAATCAGGCTCTTAGTTCAAGCGTTATCAAAAGTCTGACGACATTCGCTTCGCGTGGCACAGTGGTACCAACGCATGACCCACTCATG